TTTTGCAAATTTTCAGGAATATTCAGAAGTTTAACTTAATTTCTAAAAGAGTCAAATTTTTTTAAAAAGAAAGATAAGTTTACAATACAAATGTTAATGGAAATATAAAGAAAGTAATGAAAAGTTATATAAAAAATTGAAGATGTCAAATATTCAGAGATAATTGAATCAAAAATTCTTCGATTAGCACTCATCGTTTGCTGTTTGGCTCGCTCAGCTGACAATTAAGATAAGATCCATTAGCCAAAGAATCGCCTGAGGAGACAGAAGAAGACCTTTGCATATAGCACCTCCTGGATTTCGTCTTTAAGGACAACCTTGCTTTAAATTTCGCCTTTAGGAACGACACTGCCTCTGATTTCGTCTTTAAGGACAACCTGGCTCCGAATTTCGCTTTTAAGGACTCGCATCAAGAAATAACCGAACTTTTCCATGATAGACGCATTGACATAAATTGAACCAATCGAAATTATTTATTCGTAATTATTAAAATTTAAGAGTTTTCTGTTAATAATTTTATTATATAAATTTCAAATGAAAAAATTTTTCCAATTTAAAATATCGACTATCGACTAAAATATAAGGGAAAAAATCGTCCGAGGAGAGTGTTGATTTTAATTTTTACGATTGATTTTGAGGCGAACGTTTCAATTCAAAAAATTCTTTTTTGTTCTTTTTGGAACAAATTTGTCATAAAAATTTCTCATAAAAATTCACTGCTTTACTTATCGCTTAAATATCTTAAAAATTTCTTTAAACATATATTTAATGTATGTTTCATATAGAAAAAAATTTTTCCACGCATAAATATGCATTATACATATTTATGAATAGAATTCGGTGATAATTTTGCATGTAAAACATAATCGAAGGGAAAACGAAAAACGAGAAAAGTTGTGCAAAGGAAGAATGAGAAGAATGTTGCTAGTGATAAATTTGAATTATTGCTTCTGATAATTTATTTCATAGACGAATCGCAATTTCTTTATTAAACCTTTCCTCTCCCTCCCCTCTGGCAATGATAAGAATTCATCGCGTGAACCGTAAATTCTCTCCTTAACCAAAATTTGAAAGAAATTTATATTTCTTCTTCATTTATTGCAGTTAACATCGAATAGATATTACTGAAGAATCTGTCAACAAAGAATCGCGCGAAGAACTCAAATAACTCCCAGTCGGCTCGCTGATAAGAAGATTAATATTCCTTTGATAGTTAAGCCTAAATGATGATTTGCGCTCGATTAATGCAAATTCAATTAAACTAAACTTAACATCGAATGCATACTATATTGCATTTAAAGACGTCGAAACGATTAAAACAGAAGTCCGTCTAAAAATCGGAAATGTAAAGCAAACAAGCACAACTCGTCAAGCGAGAATGGCCTCGACAAATATCGCGATGAGCCAATTCTGAGAAGAATCGAAGAAAGGGAAAAGAGGGAGGGCGAGCGGAAATACTGAGTAAAAACGACATTTTGAAGCACGAAAACCACGATTAAATGGAGCCACTGCGATTCATTACGTCTCATTCCGGTACTATCGACGACACACACGTTCGTCAATAGTACTGCAAGCATTAGCATCAGTGAAAGTTACATCGCATATGCAAAACTGACTATAACTGACGAACCGTGGAATCAAGCAAAAGAATCTTTGTGCGCAAAACGGAAAAACGCAACAGATAGCATGGCAAAGCAAAAATTAACAATCAAGTGCGAAAAAAGGAACTAATTTTTAAAACTTTTCCAAATGAGCCATAAACAGGAAGTAAATGGTAGTTAACAGGAATTCCCTCGAGGGCAAATCCTCCCTCTCCCCCACTGTTTCATCCGATTTCATCCCAGTTATTCCCGGCTTCTCCCTTGCTTTAAAAAGTTAAAGATTGGTTGTGAATCGTAATTGCCCATGCTTCGTCCTTCGCTTGACCGCACCAGTCATCAAATGAATAAATCTCATATAAAGAAATTGGCTCGCATTCGCTTGAATAATAAATTATCCTTATCTTTAATTCTTGTGAAATAAATTAAAAATATATAGTACATGCCATTCTTCTAATAGCACTCAACATTTTCAACGTATTAGCTATTAGCATGAGAAACATTCAATCAATTTCAGATGGGGTAGAAACACAGGTGGGTGCCTGCTGCGACAATCTTGTTGTAGTCTTAACGTCGTTTTACGTTATATAGCCCTATAAATAGAACCAGCAGGCTGTAAAATATTTGCCACCAGAATCGACACAGAAAAAAAAGGCACTCATGATGAACGATTTGCAGAAACCTGCGAAAATTTAGAAAAATTTTGTAAAAAACTCTACGACGACTCCATCTTAGAACAAAAAAGGAAGAAACATGAATAGGAAGAAAAATTAAAAAGTGCTATTTTTAACAAATATGCTTTATTTACAAGTAAATTTAAAAAAGAGCAAAGATAAAAGGCAAAAAGCAAAGATTTATGAGCAAATATCTCGTAAAAAGCACGGATTTATTTTATAAGTAAATACGAAAAGTATAAAAAGCAGAGGTGAAATGAATTTCACGATGAAACTAGCAAGAAAACAAGATTTCGGAAATTTCTCAGCAAGTTAAAACCTAACGTACTCGTCGTGGAAAGTTCTATTTGCATAGCTGCGAGTGTACTAAATTCGAAGTATTAAAGCTAATCCCACCGATTGTTTACCTATTTATTATGGAACTAATTGCTTGCTTAATTGCTTTTAAAGTTAATTGGCGAATGAAGAATCGAGCAAAAGTCAGAAATCGAAATTTTGCTGAAATAATTTTCATGAAAAACATTTCACCAAATAACTAATAAAATCTGAGGAATAATGAAATTTTCCAAAGAAAATATGTTAACGACGACAATAGGCCAGCCGAAAACATCAATGATCACTATGAGTAATTCGTGCGACTTCGAATCATAAAAATATTGTTGCCTAGAGTCGCTGATCGCTGATGAAAAGTGTTTCATAAATCATAAGCATAAGCATAAAGATAATGCATGTGATATGCATCCTGCATGCATGCGAGCACATCTTAAAACTAATTTTCCAAGATAATTAGTTGCTGAGGGAAATTTGAGAAAAGTATTTAAATATTAAAATATTTTAAACCAAAAATAAATTAATCGTTCTAAGAAGCGACTCAAATTCTCTTCTCTTTTTTTGTTTTATTTTCTTTAATCTAGATAAAATAAAACGAAATACTTAATTGGTGTTTCAGCCTTGTTTTTCATATTCTCCTTTCCCTCTCGACAATCCCAACGTAATTAACTCAAATTAACGATGTGCGATCTGCATAGACCTTTTTGTCCATCTTCTAATAGCACTGCACCATTTTGTTGATTAACAATTAACAATTAACACTACCAATGGATTTGCGGAAATAAAGGATTTATTAAAAAAAAGCAGATATCCTTTTAAAACACTCGAAAATAAAAAAGTTCTTAGCAAATCAATAGAAAAAAGCTCGCAAATATTATCGAAAATTTAAGCCAAAACCGGTTTATTAAATGTACGTATTACTAAAACGACGTTCCTAACTGCGTCTCATTTATAATTACTATGTTCTGATATATTTCTGATATAAATTAGTTTTCATTATAATAAGCTATAAAGCAACTTATGAAGAATTAAATTAAAATTGTTGCTAGGAACTCACCAGTAACTCTATTTTCAAATAACTCTCCGGTAACTCTTTAATGCAGTCAATGCAGCCAACAAAACCAGAAAAAAGCGTGTTTCTGAATTGATTAAATTAAAAATTGATTTAATAAATATATAAAATTGATCCGATTTGTGAAACAACTCGAAATATTTGATTTGATCAACTGCATTTAATGAGAAAAATGCGAAAAAATATGAAATGAAAATGCAATAATTCACCTGAACATTATAAAATATTAAATATTGGTTGTACAAGAAATGCATTTAAAATATAAAAGTGTGAATTTCGCTTCAACAAGAAATAACAAAATTACTTCGCCCGGACAGTATCGCAGAATACCGAATAAACACTTTCTTTAGAATTATTATTACACTCAGTTTTTTCTTAACAAATCAACATCCAAGCACAGTTTGCCTTTGGAAAAGTTCATTATTATTTTTCTAAAGATGAATGTGGAGAAAAGACGAAAATAACTTAGGAATTTATATTAAAAGAAAAAGCTTAACCAATTATTATCGAAAGTGAACAAAAAATTCAAAAATTGAAAATAAAGACTATCATAAAATAACAAGGAAGATATAACCTGATAGGTTCGATTCATATTCACTGACGCGATTAAACGTATCAAAGTGAAATCCAAATTATGCTGAGAACCCATTTGCATTCTTCTATTCCCGAATGGGTTTTCACTGAAGAGATACCAGCCTTAATAGCCAATGATGACAGCAAACGAGAACTGACGACGGCTATTGGAATAGGAAGAAAAATCCAGAAAATGGGCTCAATAAATTCTATAAAAAAGAAAATGATGGCAGTTATTCTTTTTGTAACGTATAATCACCAATGCTATTGCAATAAGAGCACAAGAAAAAATATATCCGCTAAAAAATATATCGGCGTTTGTCAATAAATGAGACTATACTGCAAGAAAAATGGGATTTCACAGTTGTTTATGAAAGTCTTAAAATTCGTTATTTATTTTTTAAATTATACGACCAATCCCCATATTTTTTTAAAATTATTTTCCAAATAAAACAATATTTTCAACAAAAAAAGCAATTTCAATGCAATAAAACGAACTAAACTAACTAACTTAACAATGAAAGCTCATCAATCAAAACAACCACATTTATAAAATTATTAACGAATAATTTAATAAAATCTAAGAGATATTAACAATAAAACAATAAAAAAAATGTGGATCACAGCCCATAAGACCAAAATAAAAACTCAATTTAAAATATAAAATATTGTAAAATGAAAGAACTCGTTAGAGAAAAGAATATTTATAAATATATAAATAGATCGTATTATTATTACTATTATTATCAATTTTTATTGTTCGAGAAATGAAGGAGCAACATTAGCAATTACATTTTCATCTTCTATAATAAATTTTTGCATAACTGACTGCAAACCGTTTGCATTTCCTGAAATATAAACAAAAAATCACATTTTTAATGATCGATTTTTATTTTAATATGAAATGTATAAAAAACTTATCATTCAATCATAATTACCTGAGAAATACGCTAATAAAGCATTATTAAGAAGCATTAACTGTTTTCGCATAACTTTTTGTCTATTTTCCTCAAGAAGAGACATCTTCACCTATAATTTACTTAAAATTAATAAAAATCATAGCAGAATAAATATCTTGATTTCTCCTCGCTATGCAAATTCTTTTATTTATAAAATATTAAACTAACTTTTACGTCTTCTTTGAGTTTTTCATATTTTTGTTTATGGAAGATACGTTTTTGCTCGGCAGCAGCTAAAACTGTTGTGCTTAAATTGGTTTGTTGACGAAGAGTCATTTCTTCATTCCGATATATATCATATTCTAATCGAGCCTACAAAATAAACATAATTAACGTTATTAAAATGATACTTTTATTATTATTGTAGTTATTACATATCGCAGTTATAAGAATCAATTAGCTAAAAGGTAATCTATACAATTCCAGTAAAAACTTTGAAGAATGGAAAGATCGCTAAAAGTTGAAAATTGAAATTACAAAATTCCTCATAAAATTACGATCTCTTGGAATTTGCAAATTTTGCAAATTTTGCTTAACAAAAACCACTTATTGAGAAAAAATATTTATTTTTATTATTCAGCTTAAAATAATTTTTTCAAACCTGATCGAGATTATGAACCGTCGTAAGTGTATCTTCTATTGAATGATGACATAAAGTGCGCAAAGACGAAAGAAAAAATGTTAACGCCTTTTCTAGCAAATAACCATTTTGTGCCAAAGAACGTAATGAATCACTATTAGACGAAAACTCCTTCTGAAAGTAGTAGTAAGATTAAGAATTGGAAAGAAAGATTATATTATAAGATTAAAATATTCTAAATACAAATAAATGCTTCTTTAAATTTTAGAAATCATAAGTAAAATTTGTCCCGAATATTGAAAATTACCTTGAGTTTCGTCTCCTTTAACGAAAGTTGGTAAAAAGATTCGGCTAAGCCCTTTTTGGCTTCATTCAAATGAAGAAAATGAGTACAAAAAATCTCCGACATAGACAAAACCTAACAAAAAGAATATTTATAGAAAATTAAAGGATAGAAAATTGTAAAACAGCAAAAATTTTTTTATTTCTTTAAAGTTTTTATCCATCTATCAAAGGTAAAAGAAAATATAAAAAATAAAGTAAACTATGAACCAAATTTTTGGCCTGCAATATCCCAAAAAAATTTCAAAAAAATGCGAGAAATTTAAAGAAATTTTTCGCAAAAACTAAGTTCAAAGAAAACGAAAATCGAAAAAATTTAACAAACGCAATACTCAATTTAAAAAATATATAAAAGACTTTTTCGAAAAAAGAACTGATGTCCGGCAAGGCTGAGTCCTTTCTCCAACAATATTCGACTAAGCTATAAAATGGATAGGGAATATCGCTTATAATAGGAATTCAAGAGGTGTATAGATCAGTCCAGAGGATATATCAAAGACCTTGAATACGCTGATTATGTAATCCTTTTAGCTGACAGTTATGACGAAATAACATTAAATAAATAATCAACTGCAACGAGATCCGACTCAGAATTAAAGTAAATAAAACGAAAGCCTTTTCGTCTCATATACAAGAAGCTGATAAGAATAAAATATTTATTTTTATCTACTCATCACCCGCTGAAAAAGTGTCAGATTTTAAATAAAGTGCATTCACTCGATCCCAAATGGCCAACCAAAAGAAAGCCAGTAGTAGGTGGAACCGGCAGAAAACAGCGGTGAAGGTCAAGATAGCTAGTTTGAGCCGCAAACCGCGTAAAGTTGGATGTCGTCATAAGCACAGTGTAATGTTCGGTAAATGAACAGAACAGGGCTTATTGACGACTTTGTGAAACCGTCGCGAAATCACCATAAAAACGGAAGCCGCATCTACATAGCTGCAATTCGCTCGATCTTGCTATATGGCTGCTCAAATACCACTTTCATTTATACTATTACCACGGCGTGTCAAAATATCACCACCTTCGTTGGTTATTACAGCTTCATCGCCCACCCAGGTTTCGTTACTTGGTGAACCCTGTGATGGTTGGCGTCAAAAGCGAGGTGGGCCAATTAAGACTTGGACTGATACGGTGAGAAAAGAATTTGAATGTACAGATCGATTAGCAATATATAGACTTAGACGTCAGAAAAAGGAATGACTCCTATTAATGTCAGCGATGACATTAGATTGAATAGCTTGGAAACGATTTATTCTTAGTCAACAAAGCCAGCCAAACCAATAATGGTGAGAGCTATTAGAAGAAGATATTATAAAAAATATTATATTAATAAAGTTGACAAGAAATATTGAAAAATTTATTATTTATTCAAAAAAAAAAATGACCTGATTATAACGTCGATGTAATTCTTTTAATGATTCAATTTGTTCTTCCATGTCTTTGTCGATTGTTCTTTCAACCTGAACTTATTGCATATGAAAAAGTTAAAATCCACAGTGATTTAACCTATCTATCTATTCAAACATAACCTAAATGCGGCAAGAGAAAAAATTAACTTTCCACTGGAAAATTATCAAGTCCTAGATTAAAAACAAGTTCATCTAGCAGATCAGATTTTTCGAAAATAAAACCTTTCCCAAATTCTCGCAAATTGTTTGTTTTGTTGATTTGTATGTCGATACAGTCCACTTTTTAATCGAATCTATTTTAGCAGTCATTTGTGATAGATCAGCGCTAAAACAGAGAAATTTTTTGCTCCTTGATATATGTAAAGAGTGAAACCACAATAAATGAGTAATAGTGAAAAATCATGAAAATTCAAGTGAAAATCATAAGATAAGAAAACACACGAGTTACATAGAGCTGCTGTCTTCGAACGAATTTGAGAAAGGCCATCAAAAGCTGAAAAATTAATGCAGTGAAGCTGCAAAATGAAATGAAATGAAATGATTTAGAATTTTCATAAAATATTCTCTTAGTACTTTCATTTTGCAATATTCTATCCCGAAACACAATCTCATGCCTTTCGCTAGAGTAACAACAGTCATGTGCACTCGTAAACAAGAACCACAGAACAAGAATTGGCTAAGCTTGAACTGAGACAAATCGATCAAATTTCCATAAATCCTCATTGAATATTTTATCGAATCAGCTTTTCATACCCATTTGCGCTGGTGATTTTCTCATCAAATAACGATTTGAACTTTGCGAACTTCTATTCAAGATGAATTTTCACGCAACTGCACCATTTAATCTCTCTAGCCAAAGTCGAACAAAGTAAATGTCAACACAACAACTAACCTAATCCTCGTTTAATCATAAAAATTACCTGAATTATTTGCTGATCTCTCTACTTCTGGTACGAATATTCCACTACTTTCGGGCATCATCTGTACATTGTTTAATAAAAATAACGATAAACAGGAAAAGATAAGGTAACGAAATATAGACAACGAATATAATCAAATTATTTCTCTTGTTTTCTCAGATGGCAAAAATTGAGAATCGAGACTCCAACGGATTACGAGGGGTTCCAATAAAAAAAAAGCAGACATATGACTGAGATTAAAGTGATGTTAAGCTTTGAACAGCGTTATGAGATTTAACAAAACAGCTATCGGTAAGGATGATATGATAAAACCGTGCTTTTGAAGGAGAAGGACACATAAAGAGAAATAAATTTGATGAAATTTTCCCACGGATTATAAAATTTAGAAATTTTAGCAACATTCAACGAAACTCAATGCATAGAAGATTTATTTTGCATAGAGATAAATATTCGGCTATAACTTTGAGCTAGAGCTAAAATCAAGATAATGTAAAGGACTTGAAAACAGATGGCCGGAGATTGAATTATTAAAGAGAATTTTATTATTAAGACGATGATTTTCATAAGAACTGAGAGATATGGTTTGCATTCTTAAGAGATCGGGAAGACATATTCAACCACAACCTAACCAAGCATTTTACTGCAAAAAATTAGCACTAATGCTTGTATTTCTAAATTAGGCATTATGGCAAATAGTTTAACCATAATTTTTTACGAAAATCAATAGAATTTTGTCGAGAATTTTACCGGGAATGAGCAATTCATTAGATTTAATAAACAAAATTTAATAAGTCTGCAATCGAATTTCTTTTCTTCTGAATAAAAAAAGACAAATATTCACAAAAAATTCTCGAAACATTCAAATAAAAAATTTCCACAAATCAACCCTTTAATCGAATGAATAATCATCGATATTTAAATTGGTTTAAAAAACAAAGTAGATTTATGTTAAAAAAAGAAAATTTAACAATAACGCCGAATGCCGATAGAAAAATCATCCATTCAATCTTTTTTGTCCACTCGGATTCGATTTCGAGGGTAACACAATATATGTTTGCAAACAAAAAATTCCAAAGCACAATTAGATTAGTTGAAATAAATTTATGTGACTATTATTTACCGTGACGACTATTCACTTTTTCTTCAATCGGATTAATAATTGCAGTTGCAAAAAAAGTGATAAAAATTTTCGTCAAAACTAAGAACAGCTTATTAACTTTCGAAATTTGTTCCAAATTTCCTGTAAAAGAAATTACATACATATACATATAACAAAAAGGCACGCATAGTACATAAAATACTAAATATTTACAAGTCAAAATTTAACAACAAACAAACAACTTGTTAATAAAAAAAACAAGAACTGACAACTTTAAAAAAATAGGTAAAAATTTATATAAGGTATTGCTCTCGTTAATCCGATGATTTCATCTACATTTACTCAGGAAGAAATCGATAATAATTTGAAAATAATTTGAAACTAGACTGTACAAATTAAATGAACTGAATGAATCAAAACACTGTCCAAAATTTGTCTTTAAAGAGAGAGCAATATTATCAACGATTTGAAACTAAACAAAAAACGCATAAACATGAGTTTTTTTTCGAAAAAATCTCCAGAATTTTAATTCAAAGAAATTTAAAATAATCAGCAAATGCTAAAATCTTTTTTTCATCCGGATATATCTAGAAATGACCTAACAAATTTTAAAATTGAAGGGAGAAATCTAATTAATAAACTAATAAATGAAATATCAAAAAAGCCACATACAGATGACTAGCTCTCCCTATCAGCTTGGATTTTATTTTAATATTAATTTTATCTTTGTCGAGGGATCGAAATGAATCCACGCTATTTTCTAGATGAGAAAAAGACAGACTAGAGCTAAAACAATTGCTTGAATGCCTGTCAGTAGATAATACGAGCATATACATCAAATATTCAATTAAATATCGATTAAATCAAAAGAATTCATACTTTCGATCCACTATAAACGGATTCATCCTAAGGAATTGTAACAATGAAATAACACAATTCAAAATTCAAAATGAAAAAATAAATAAAGGAAAATAATTGAGGAAACAAACAATTCTTTCCCTAATAGAACATGAAAGCCGCTGATGATATTTGGTTAATAAAAATGCGCAATAAATCGATAAAACTACGATATAACACAATTCTTTTCCTGACGTTTCATATTACCGTTGGCTATTTCAATTTCACGAAGGACAAGATCGAATATTTGTTGAACAGCCTGAAATATTCCTTGCTTAATAAATTTTCATTAATGGTAGAATGACTGGTAGATTTAAAAATTTTCAAAGCAATTATCAGCAAATAATGGTATATATGATTGTCCTAAAATCAAAGACTAAAAAAAGTGTGAGAGGAACAACTTTATACCGTATTATCTTTCGCTGAAGTTTCTAGAAAAGCCGCATTCCAGGAAGAAGCCAAATGTTTTCCCTCATTAGTCGTCACCTGGCGAGAATTATGCTGTAGATCTAATTTATTACCAACGACAACAAGTGGAACACTAAAATTTCGTTACTTGTTTCATTGCAAAATGAAAAACTGCAATAAAAAATAAAATTTTACATCTATTTCCCCAAGTTTTGAACCTATTATTTCTTTGTGTATCTAAATATCTGTAAATAACAAGAAAAAATATTCTTCCTCCTTGGAATCCTTGAGAATCCTAGTTTCTTGTCGAAGAATGGCAAAAAAATTAAAAGAAAATTATTTCAACAAGAATATAGAATTGAAAAATGAAGTCTGAAATTTATAAGATTGGAAAAAAAAACCAACTTTTTATCACCGCAATTTTCCAAGATTTTGTCATGAATCGTTGATAAAATATCAAACCTAAAGAAGCAACAAATTTATCAAAATTAAATAATCAAGAAAACTAAACAAAATTTCATCGTTGCCATCTCCAGAAAAATTTTCATATTTAACTCTTTATTTTTAGAAAACAATTAATTAAATATTCCAATTTTTATGAAATATTTCCAAGATTTTTTATAATAAAATAAATAGAAAAAAAATACAGAGAAAAAATCACGATTTTTTGTCATCGATTGCATAAACCAAAATATATCCATCAATATCAAGAGCACAACTTCGAGGAAATAATGAATATTCTTGCTAAAATTTGAAAAATAGTTGATAAAGAGTAGTATTAGAAAGAAAACTGATGCAATTTAGAAATTTAAAATTAAATTAAATAAAATTTAAAAAAATTAAATTAAAAAGTAAAATTCGATTTAAAACTTTGAAAAAAATTGATAATAATTCATAAACCAAAAGCTTTGGATCAAAATAAATAAAATTTTAAAAAATTTTAAAAAAATAAAAGGAGATGAATAATAAATGATAGCATATAAAAATTAAAAATCAAGGCAATAAAACAAGAATTAAATGAGCATTAATTACAAGACAACAAAATTGTAATATTTTTCTGTAATTGCACGAATTTCTGAGATCCCACAGAAACGTAATCTAACAAAATTCTTAAATGTTATACTGTTAAAATGAACAAAATATTAATTCAGAACAAATTAATAAAGGTTAACTATTTCATCATACATAGAAAATACCTGTCCTGCGGTATCTGTTATTTGCATAGAGAACCGTCTTCCATTGAAATGACAAATTTTTTCATGAATATCCTCAATTGTAGTATCATATGCGTCTGGAAAACTACCATATACGAAACGTAATGTAATCGAAGATTTTCCTGTAAATATAATCTACTGCCTATCAATTTTCTCATTAAAAAAATTGATAAAACCAAATCTTCCCGAAATTATTAAATTAATGTTCAACCCATATGTTTAGAAAAAATTTTTTCTTCATCCTCTAACAACAATAATCATTTTATGTTTGATTATTCCCACTGGTTATTGAGGTGAAAATACTCCATCAAATAGCCAAGTTGGGATAAAAACGGATGGATCTCCAGCGTCATCAGGACGTTATATTTTTATATGAAATATAATGAAGCTAAATGAAAAATAAAATAGAAGATGAAACCAAAAATTTTTCAATAAATAGAAATATATATAGCTAAATTAAAAAAAAAAAAAACTAACCAACACATGGATATCCCATTAAAGCAATTTTTCTTTGCACCACATTTGCCATAAATGAATTCAATAAAAACTTCGCTGAAAAGATTATTTTCATTGAATATAAATAACAGTAATGAAAGTAAAAAATCGAAACAAGGACAAACATCCGAAGATAGACATAAAATTACAATTACAAATCATTATGTATAAATACAAATTTCCTTATCTTAATACTCTGTGCAAATATTCTAAAAGGAACTCAATTACTATTGGCTGGCCACTTCTCCGATGCTACTGACCTGACTTTTGGGAAATTTGGTCTAAATATGAGAAAGATATTTGACATATTGAAAGAAATGCTATGCTACTTCTTTTTTTCCAGCGTTAATGTTAACAAATAGATTTTCATTGGTTTTACATTTTCAATAATTTCCGCTCATCAAAAAAAATATTATTCATATAATTTCTAAAAATCTCAATTTCTGGCTTTCCTGATTCCTCCTCATTGATCAATAACGCAAAACAACGACAATGTAAGAAAAACAAAAATGCAAAAAACTGCAGAAATCTGCAAAAAAAAGAGCAAATGACGGAGTTCATTTAGTTGCCATTTACAATTCTAAAATCGTTTTTAATTGATTATACTAAAATAATTAATATTAAATTAATAATAAAATCAATTAATAGTTAATAATAAAATTAATATTAATAAAATCGTTTTATTAATATTAAAACAACGTTTTAATAATACCGTTCCTTAAATTATTTGCCGATTTATTGCTTACAATAAGCAAGGAAAAACGAACAGTCATTAGCCACACATTTATTCCTTAAACACCAAACGCCAAAACGCTGTTATTTTCGAACAAAAACAGCGCTTAGCTCTCTCCTTGAAATTTTACCTATCAAAGGTGTGCAATCGGAATCAACCAAATAATAAATGCATTTGTTAGAGCTAATTTACTTTTCAGTGGAAAACTTGGATTTAATGATCCAATTCATTATTTGAAGATGACTAATTCCTAACTTTTTTTGCAAAACATGGAAAATTTGACGAAAAAAGATGGAGGAACAGCAAAAGAAAATATAAATACCCACCGCTTAAAGAAAAAGTCATGACTAAAATTTGGCACTCCGCCAGAAATTGAATTATTGGGAAATTGCCAATTCACATTGTAAAGAATCAATTCGGCTACAAATAACTTATCGACGTGATTCCAACATGCCTCCATGACGTCATAGTTTAAGCCGGAATTTACAGGTTAATGTTTTGATTACGTGGTGGGAAAAAGGTCATAGTTTAAGCCGGAATTACGTTGGAGGGGGAATCGGGAACAACAAGGGAGTTGTAGGGAAGTTAATCAGTATTAGCGAGCATAGAGAGCCGGCAAGGAGTTCCTGGGAGAAATCTTGAGGTTCCAAGATAGAATGCACAAAGGACGCCCAAGGCAGATCAATTTTTCGAAGTGAATTTCACTTCCAAATGGGTGCTTTGAATGAAAAAAACTTGATTACTGATCTGGTCGAAACATTAGTATGATAAACTATATCGATGCATGGAAAAAAATTGTAGAAAACCTCAAATTTTAAATTTCTACTAACATAATAAATGCCCGATGTATGCTTGGAAAGTTGAGGCCAACAAAAAAGGGCATGTGAAATAGCAAGCCTTGACACTTGCCAATATCACCAACTGGTAAAGCGGCAAGGTCTGTCTTTCCTTACGACATCAAGCCTAGCCAATATCGCCAACAGAACCATTTAACCAGCGGATTATACAGATAAAAAAAAAAAAAAACCAGCCGGATTGTTAGCTATTCGAGTGTATTGTTTATATTTTTTACTTTAGAACAAAAAAGGTATATCAATGATAAACCGTCCCTCTTGGTTTAAATTTTTGAGTTGGGCAATTTCGAATTTTTGAGATTTTAATGTCCTTTCCGATACAATTCCAGCCGTCGCTCATCAACCTTTTCTACGAAATTCCACGATATTACAGGCTAAACAACTACGGGAAGAAACAGGCGAACTGCCAGATCCACCATTACGAGGCTCGTCAAATAGTTTGGTACGGCAAAATAATTTTTACGATTGATTTCGCATTGCTTGAAATTTATAAAAGATTTCAAAGGTTTATTTGCGATGCTTGCAGGGACCACCAAGTCATTTATAAACCATACGTGCCCACGCAAAGTACCAAGAGATCCTAAAGCTCCGAAGGAATTCGGCAGCATAGCCAAAACGATGGTAATCTCCAATTCAGGTCGGTTTTACGCTGTAATACGCAGGAAATAATCGTGTCAAAAGCGAATTCTTTAAAATCTATAGTAATACTAGAAGGCCTGAACATCAATTGTCTCATTGATTGAAATGAGTTCGCTTTTTTTTATAGGTTGGTTTTTTTTCGCGTTTTTGCGTGCGTGGATTGTGTTCACGTGGGGGCTCACGTGTTCTTTTTCTTTCAAATGTATTTGGGTACAAATTTTGTTTTACCGGCATTATTAATGACAAATTGCATTCGTTTTTGTCGCTATTAACTTGATTAGCAAATTTTTAAATTTTTTTTGATAAATTAGAAATTTTCATTTTAAGAAACTCTTCTCCATAAATCAAACATTTAAATCGTTCATCGTTCATTATTCGTAAAGCATTTTTAAATTTCAGACTGAAATTTAAAATCGTTTTATTATTCGTTTGGAAAAAAGAAATATTACTAATTTTATGGTTTTTTTGCCAATTTAATTTGTTTATTTCGTTTAATATTGAAGAAAAAAAATGGCTTCGAAAGACGAACGCAAAGTTCTTACAATACAAAAGAAAAAAAAGCGAAAAAACAAGAAAAAGGTTTGTTTTAAGAAAGAAATTCATTTATTTCAGCTAAACGCAGGACTGCCATAATTGCTGCAATTTATTGTTGTGTTGCTCCATGAAAAAAATTCATTCGTGTGTTTTGGCGCCAAGATTGGTAAAGGAGCATCTTCTGGAGCTTCATTTAGCTTCATTTTAATCGTCCTTTATCTTCGGCTATCGATATGAATTGTATTTTTACCGCTTTTATAATTTATTGCCACAAACGGAGCAGAACTGTATTGCGAGAATTAATAGGGCGTTAAAAAGGCAGTTTGGATAACTAATAACTAATACTGCTTTTGTTAGAACGAAAAGAGCTAATAGTGATATTGCAAACGGATTATGGCAATGAGTACGGCACTGTTTTAGAGGTGTTTGAGAGGATCAAATTCTGAGAGTTATGAGAGATTTTCGATATGGATTGAGGTTTCAAAGTTTGAGGTCACAATGCACCCAGTCAAGTCTTTTATTTTATTTATCAAATTTATTATGGAAATCGAATTGTTAATGCTATTGGTAAATTGGTAATTAATGGTTCATCTACTGAATTTGTTCTATTTTTCTTTTTCATCATTCATATCGTTTGGCGTGTACCGGTTCTAATTACGATTTCTAGAATATGAACTTTTAAAACTTTTATTTCATAGCGAATTATCTTTGATTGCCCTTGATAAATCTTTTTTTCATTTTTATATAACCAACTATTCTATAATTTTGTTGATTTTAGAATGGAGCGAAAGGAAAAGCTGCACCCCCATCAGCGCCAGCTTTATTGCCACATCAGTCATCAGCTAATGGTCGTTTAGATATCCTCAATATTTCAACTACAAGGTTCGATTTCTTCATGGTATTCTCCTGCTTACTTTATTTATTTAGTTTATTTATTTAGTTTTTGTGTTTAATTTTTTTATTCTTTTCCTTCCTTTTGTTTTTTTTAATTTTATGGTTTTTTTCTCTCTATGGTTTGATCGAAATAGACGAATGTTTAGGAAAAACACTTTTACATGTTCTACTACTTTTTTACTTTTTAAACTGGTTGTTTATACTATTTCTATTTTACCGTATATTATTAATTTAAAATTCCTGTTAGTGGCTTATCTGGTCCACAACAAAGCCTCTTCACTACTAATGGTGAAATAATTCGACCATAGTGAAAAAAGTGAAAGATACAAATGAAAGATGCAAGGCGAAGGAAATAAAAAATTCTTTGCAAGGAAGTGTGGGAAAAAATGTTTTTCTTTCATCTAATTAAATTATTAACTTTACTCAAATTTCGTCATTCCCAAGTTTCATAAAACGTGGAAACGTGGGAATGAAATTTATTGCATAAAATTTATTTTGAATTATTAAACTAATAAAATTAATAGAAATAAAATTATTAATAAATTAATAAATTGTTTTTGAAATCATATTTTATAAATATACTTTATACTTACTACAACTACACTTGAAGCTCTACTTTGTAAATATGGAAGTATTTTTTAAATCTTTATTATATTTCCTTACCGGAATATTCCAGAAATCTTTGTGAATTAGACGTTTATTGCATTTTGTAATTCTATTATCTCTTTATATTCTCTTCTTTTCTGCTAGCACGCATCATTTCTGATTTGGTAGGTATACCTATATGCAAACTCTCAGTAGTCATTATCCATTATCTGATCTAAATATTTTATATTCTTCGCAAAATTTATCCGACCAGGTAAGGCAGCAGAGAATGAAATAGGCGTTTTCAAAGAGAAAAATTTTTTAAAATTTATTATCTGCATTTATCTCATTAAAAAATAAATTTTTACTAATCATTTATGAAGATTTGATTTATGAATATTGTTGCTTATTATCACTATGAAAAATTTGTTTATCAATAATAGGAGTGACTCTGTTCTCTCAATTAATTATTAAAACTGGATTGAAATTACTTAAGCGAATCGATAAAACAAAATTAATGAGCCGAAATTTTTTTATTCATACAACTAGTTATTGAAATAAATTGCCCAGGATATATTCACTCTCAAGACGAAATTGAATGAAGTTATTACATACGATATTATTTGTGGATCAAGTTTTATGCATTGCTTATTTTATTGGTTTCAGTTATTATTATTTACTTTTCAATGTTTACTTTTCCTAACAATTAGGAGTATAAATAATCTTGATTGGCCTGGCCTAGAATCAAGAAAATCAAATATCTTATTTTTACTTACAAGATTCTGAATTTTAATGTTGTTGGAGGTAGTAGATTGAAGTCATACACCAATTCTTAGAATTAATATCCTATCTCCTAGCTTTGGGATAGGTTGTTTTATGCCATTCTCCCTATTTTAAGAATTTTCTAATTTTAAAAGGAAACTGGAAAATTTTTAAAGGAAACTTATCTATTATTTACAATCATTTAGAATCTTAAGCTTAATAATTTTATAATATTTATTTTATAATAGTATTCTAATATTATATATTTTATATTTGGATTTATTTTTTGCATATTTTTAACTTTCTCATTTATTATTGCTAACCTCACCAGCACATGGCTCTAAGTTTTATTTGGTTTAATCACAAATAGAAAGGCAGTAAACCTTTTTAGAAGGGCTCACCATGTCTGATTAACCTCTTTGCTTCGGATAAATTTTGCCAGAGAATCATTTGAGGATAGATTATAAATAACTGGCATCCGAATTTTCGATCTTTTTGCTTTGCTCATTTTTAATGTCAGTCCTGTGCATAAAAGGTCAAAAAAATTTCTTAAGAATGTCTTGGGCTTTTGTCCAAAATTTTGTTTTTTTTTGCCAATCTTTTTGTTACGTTTTTTTGCTCATCGTTTTTGCTCATTATATCTGGCTAGGTTTGCTCCGCTGGCTTGTTGAATCAGATAAATTTTGTGGAGAATTGATTTAGGAATAGAAGTGCGGTTGAATCGCCAGCGAATTTTCAAAGAACTTTTTATTCCTTCGTGGAGTCTTGCTTGCTTCGAAGTCTTAAATGCTTCGAAATGAGAGGAAAAACCCACTAATCCATCTTCCGTTCCTCATTTCACCAAACATATATATGTATATCTTTCCTTTACTGCTTATTGTTTTTTTTTCATTCTTCTATTAATGATTATTTTATTGTCATAATAAAAAATTTTCCCATTAAATCCTTGTTTTTTAATAATTTTTTTCATCCATGTATATTTTTTATGATAATTGATAACATTAATAAATTAACAATAAATGAATAATAAAATAATTATTAATAATTTAAACTAATAAAACTATTAAGAACAAATAATAATTGTATATTTAATAATAAATCAAATCAAATAATAAATCGTTTTAAAAACTGAATATTTTTTGTAAATTTTTTAAGTTAATTTTGCTGAAAATTTTCATTTTATTATTTAATTTATGTAAAGCATTTCTTTACATTACATTACACAAAAATAATAACATTCATTCATTCATTCTTCTTCATCAGCTTTGTTATATTTCTTGAAAACGTTTTCTTCTTCGTCTTATATTTTTTTATTATAAATTGACTATAGTGTCGATTCTTCCTTATCACTACGAAAAGCTTCTTTCATTCTTCTTTTTCTAATTTTTGGCAAGGTTTTTCCAAAAAAAAGAAAAAGGTAGTATTTCTTTTCATCAACTCATATTAATCTCTTCTTCCTTGTTATTATTGATTTTTTATTAATTGTTTTTGGTTGATAAGATTTATTATTCGTTGAACGAGGAAAGAAGCGACGAAATGTTTATCTTTTGGTTATCGAAATGGTTTTACAGTGATGATGATAAGACGGAAAAAAAGGATAATGTAACTGAAATGCAGTCAAATGATACAAAAACAATGATGACTTTTCCATCTGATGTTGAACAAATTACCAATATCGATCAATTGTGCACTTCAATTAGTGATCGCCTTTCAACTGCAAAAGTCTCTTCGTGCTGCCCGTTATCAATGTCGCTGTCATCTCCTGCTATATACCAACAGTATTCAGATAAACATTTGTGCAATTCAAGAAATGAATCAAAATTTCATCGACGATATATAGCAACATTATCCAATGAAAATGCAAATATGGACCTTGATGGTGAATTTCAAATTTTTCTAGAGAAACACTACTTCGGTCACACTACTCACAATGATTCAGAGGTAAACTGTAATAAAAATAATGGTGATATGAATATTATGAAAAATAAATCAGTGATAAATTCAATTTTGAATTGTTCTCGAGGAAAATGCACTGCAAGAAGTTCATCAATAAATTCGTACAATTTTCGTGAAGAGAATAATTTTGCGCGTTTTGTGAAATCATTTTCGTCAGCTGATCGTCAAACCGAAGAAGCATATCACAGTTGTAATAATCAATATGAAAGCAGTGATAATGATAACAATGGATCGAGTGAAGAAGATAATCATGATATTGGGTATCAGATTTGTGATGGAAATAATTTTTCACGAAAAAAAAATTTTCCTGACCCATATATATTTTTTCCTAAACACATGATTATCAATCAATTATTAGTGAATGGGAATTCTAATCGAATGTAAGTTTTTATATTTTTAGAAAGATCGTTAAAAATTTATCCCTAAAAGTGCTAAAATGTCAAATTGAATGCAAAGGTGACAAAGATGAAATTCTATAGAAAATCATCTCGGTTGTTTCTTTTTGTCAATATTTGCAAAATTAAATTTGCTAAGAAGAAGTTTTATGAGTGAAAACGATACCACTGAAGAATGTTTTTTTTAGGATAAAAGGAAAAGAAATAAGAGAAATTTTTAAAATAAAAGGATAAGATTAAAAGCTTGCAAAAAGGGATTGCAATAAATTTGTTGTTCAGTGGGGAAGGCTGAATTTTAAAATTCGGCTTTCGGTGAATTTCTCCATTTGAGCCATTTTTTTTACTCGACTTTTATTGAATATTTAGAATAAAATTGTTTTACACTTTTTTTTTCGGATTAGGATTAGGAACTTATAGAACTTCTTATATGATATAACTCTGTTTTTCGTTCACTTTCTATTGACGAACAGATGAATACAACAAATTTACAGCAGGTGGAGTATTTTAGGTATTTTATAGGATTAAAATGGGTAGGAATTTCATCATTATTGGAATTGGCTCATATGTCCTTGAACTTGAGTTCTTTCAGCTGGACATTTTGTTGCTAGCTGTGAACCTGTTATTAAAAGCAAAATTTGAGTAGCGTTCATTAACAATTCTGTGCTCATTCATAATTCAGATAGAGATTTCATTATTTGAATTAGGTAATTTTATATACAATATATTATATATATTATATATTATATATATTATATAACATAATATATAATACAACAATCATAATAATAACAATAATAATAATTGCTGAAGCATATAATTTAGAAAATTTTATTAACCATCTTTCAAATTATTTTCCAAAATGTTTTGAAAAAATAATGAAGTATAAAAATTCGATTAAAATTCAGTTCTGAAAATTTGATTCTTTTTAAAATTTTAACGAATAAGTGGTGTTTATTTGAATAAAGTAAGGGATTTTGTGCAAGATTTTAATTATTTTTTATTTATTTACTTTTTTATTTTTCATATTTCATAGTAGTATGAAATAATTAGGAACGTCGCGAATAAATTGAAACCGGCTTGATGAATTCCCTGAACCCTCTCTCTCCTTTTAGTTTTTATTTTCCTTTCATTCCCTATAAAACTTGTTTATTTAACATTCATCATTCAATTTTTTTTCAAAAATTTTTTCTATGTAGTTTATTTCTGTAATTTTTGTTTTGATATTTTATTTCCATTTTTTATATAAAAATTGATTTCTATTATTTATTTTGATAAAAAATATATGAATTTATTCTATTCTATTAGGTTTTGTCAAAAATTTATTTTTTTACAAAATTGAAGAGTCCTTTATTATTGAAGAAATTCTTTCATTTTTTAGTGAAGCTGCAGACGATGAAATTATTGGAAAAGAAGAAGCAGATAAAATGAAAAAATCGAAAACGATGGATGGAGTTCAAACGCCGTATGCAATTTTACCACCTATGTTGAACAATTCTAAAACAGTTGTGAATGGTGGTAGTATGGCTGCTACTGTCATCGATAAACAACATAAACAACAGAAAAATGCTCATAACGTAATATTTAAAATATTTTTAATAAAAATGCTCATAACGTAATATTTAAAATATTTTTAATAAAAAAAGTTTCTTGAGTTTTCCCTGAGTTTTTGTTTTTACAAATTTCAGTACTTTATTTTGTACTTTCTTACTTTCATTTAAGACTTATCTACATCATCAGTTACATCATGCCCCTTCTGGTGGTAAACTTGTGCCATCAGATCCGAATTTTGATGAAAATTATGTTGGACCACCGAGTGGCGATAGTGAAAGTGGTGAATGTGAGGAAATCAATGAAGAAGTACTACTTTAATACTACTTTTATCCTATAAAAAAAAGCTGAATCTTCCGAGTAGTTCATCTTCCAGATATTTGTATTAGGTAATATTGGTATCTTCTATCATTGAGTTTTATAGGAGGAAGTGCTTGGTAGTGACGATGAAGAACAAGAAGATCCAAAAGATTATCGGCGAGGTGGATATCATCCAGTCACGATTGGAGATGTTTTTAATGGACGGTAAATTTTTCTTTTTAGTCCAAATCGAAATGAAACTGTTAATATGTAGGTAATATTTTCTTTTTAAATCATAGCTTGTTAAACGTGTCGTATTGCTTATAAAAACTGTTTACAGCTATCATGCTTTGAGAAAAATGGGTTGGGGTCATTTTTCGACAGTTTGGTTGTGTTGGGACACTGTAATGATGAGATTTGTAGCGATGAAGATTGTTAAATCAGCTGGACATTATACGGAAGCTGCTCTTGATGAAATTAAAGTTTGTTTAAATTTTTTTTCAAAACCATTAAGCTATTTTAAATAGCATTTAAAATAACTTATCTATATTATTTTTATTTGCAGCTTTTGATGTCAGTACGTAATGCTGATGAAAATGACGAATTTCGTGAACGAGTTGTGCAACTTTTGGATGAATTTTCTGTCACTGGTCCAAATGGTACACATATTTGTATGGTTTTCGAGGTGCTTCTATCATCTTTATGTTAATATATTATATAGTTAATATACTTATATTTTTCATTGTTCTAGCTGGTCATATCCCAAAAAAAATCTCGATTTTCTTTTTATCGACTACACTTTTCTGATAACGAGATTATTTGGCTAAATTTTAGACATTTTAGGTTCTTGGTTGCAATTTACTGAAATTAATTATTAGAACTGATTATCAAGGATTACCATTGGAATTGGTACGTGTTATTACAAGGCAGGTTCTTGAGGGTCTGCAATATTTGCATGAAAAGTGTAATATTATTCATACAGATATAAAGCCTGAAAATGTTCTTATTACAATGGATCATGAAGACATCAAAAAGGTAATTATTTTGGCTGTTTCATTTATTTTCCACCAATCTTTTGCTTTCATTGGTTTTTATTTATTGTTTGTTTTTTAATATGATAAAAAAATTTTAAATCCATCACTTTTTTTTTTTATTTTGGTTCAATACTTTTCGGTTTTAGATGGCTGCTGAAGCATTATATGCTGAAAAATTTGGCATTCAGATGTCAGGGAGCGCTGTAAGTACAGTGCCGGCGCATGTATTGAAAAAAGTAAGCATTTTAAAATCTTTATTTATCCTTGCTTATTTTATTCTTTCGTACTAACATTATTTTTAGTACGAAGAATCAATGTCAAAAAATAGAAGAAAAAAACTCAAAAAAAAGCGAAAAAAGCAACGAGAACTGTTGGAATTACAACTAAGTCAAGTAGAAGGTCTCTCAGTTGATATATCAACTGCTAATGGCCCAATGAAATCAACAAGTATTAACGGTCCTAAGGTTTCTATTATATTTTTCTTATTTCTTTAAATCCAGGTTTTTTCAATGTGTACCTAAACAAAATTTAATTTTTTCAAGAGAGATCTTTAAAGGATTGTGCCATTTCTATTCTGGATCTCCCTAGAATATTTTATAATTATTTTAGCATATTTTTTATCTATTTATTTTATTTTTACTTACCTTTTTTACTCTTGAAGGAAAATACTTACCTTTTTTACCCTTGAAGGAAAATTACGAAGGGGAAATATTGTTCCAGTCTGATGAATCTAATGTTCCGTTAAAATATTCGAATAGTGAGCTTAGAGAACCCATTCACCGCTCCAGCCAGGTATCATATTTTGAATATTGATTAACTTTTTGAAATGATCGTCAAAATGATTGAGCTATAGTAGAACATGGTAGAAGCTTAAGAGAATCATCGTTTTTTAAAATGAGTTAAAATGAGACTTTGATTTTTCTTTTTTAGCTTTTTTAGCAAAAAAATCTTAATCGTGTCGTATAATTATTAAGATTCAGTAGATTTTTTCTGTAGGGTCAAGTAAAAAATTCGAGCGATTTGGAGGGAGAAGCTCAGTCTCATGAACGGATGTTTGTTGATGCAGTGAGCGATGATGAAAATATTTCAGGTTAAAAAAAGTTTTTTTGTTTTTTTGCTGAAATTTGTCTATTCCATTGAAAGTTCAAAAGTTCAACGGCATTTCAGCACGAAATACGCAAAATTTTTCATCTGGTATTGATTCGGAATCAAACGATATTGAATCACATTTATTGAGTGGTTCAAGAAGTCCTTATTCTAATTTATTTCGCACTTCTAAATTAGATCAAAAAAACTGCACACCGAATTCAATCAGTGTCAAAATTGCTGATCTTGGAAATGCTTGTTGGACAGTATGCATTATGCATTTTTACCTCTCACTGTTGTTTTTTCTTGTCAAGTTTTTTTTTTTCTGCGTAATTTATTCTATCTTTATGATTAGATTGATTTAAAAAAGAATTCGTTTTAACTTCCAATTCCATTAACTTCTAAATTATTTCTTTGCTAAAAATAATTTGATGCATACGATCCAAGTCTAAGTATTCTTCTTTAATGAATTATGTATATAATGTATATAATTATAATTATATTTTATTAGTCATAATTAATCATAACTATAGCATCACCATTTTACCGAAGATATTCAAACACGTCAATATCGAAGTCTAGAAGTTTTAATTGGTGCTGGATATGGTCCTCCTGCCGATATTTGGAGCACTGCATGCATGGTAAGCAAATATTTTCAATTTTTCTGTGTAATTTCAAGTTCATTCATGCCGAATTCGTTGAATTATCTATATATTACCACGTTCACGTGGTGTGGATCATCCTCAACCTCAGGTTCTTTACCAGAAGCTCTTAAATTTGAGGCCTCTGCGCATATCTTTGGCTGCTTTCTGGGCAGAAATCTCTAATTTTTCTCGAGTCTGTTGAAACTTTTCTATTTTAGTAGTCATAACCCCTAATGCTCCTGTATCACTGGGATTATTTTAGCCTTCATTTTCCACATCTTCTATTGCTTCTTTTTCCGTTTCTAATTTTCTCATTTCTTATGCCTAATGTTCCTCTCATATGGTGTTGCTATATATCTTATTTGCCAATATTGATTTCTGGTTCTTATGTACTATGCGATCTTTGGTTAATTTACCAGTACTTTTTTGTCTGTATGGATGAGGAAATCACGCAGAAACTGGGGCTTATTATTTTTTGTGATTTTTTGAGGAATCTGGTTTTGGGAAGGTCCAAGCTATATTGAGAAAGTATTGTCAACTGTTTGGTTACGTATGCATTTCAATGTGTACTGTTCCTGCCTGTTCTATCTTACATCTTACCATTATGTGTTGGAAAGTTTCTGAGGCTTTTTGGCACAGTCTGCATCTTGAGTCGTGTCTGATGTGGTAGATTTCCGATGGATCTGATATTCTTGTTCTGCTGTATCTCAATGCCTTTTCATCTTTCTCAACCATTGGTAGAATTTCTTACTAACAATCACTTCAGTTAATTGTTGATGGTACATCCAGTGGAGGATGTTGGCATGGCAATTCCTTTGCTTGGTTTTTCTCCAGTGTCTGTTGATACTTTAGGCACTTTTTTAGCGGTCTGTTTTTTGGTGCCATCTCACTGGTATATATTCCTGAATGTCCCTAATTTCGTTCAGTATAATATTTTTGATACTAACCAAACCGCACTCGTTTTTTTTTTTTTGATTTGAGTTTTAAAAAAAGATAAATTTTTGATTTTTGCACAATTTTATAATTGCAGGCATTTGAACTGGCGACAGGCGATTATTTGTTTGAGCCTCATAGCGGAGATACCTATAGCAGGGATGAAGATCACTTAGCACATATAATCGAGTTACTAGGTTCAATTTCTCCTAGAGTATATAAGAAAGGTGAACATTGGCGAAACTTTTTTGATAAGGTTTATTTTGCACTTTTCTTTATTTTTCTATTTTGTATTTTGTTTTTTTGTTTTTTCTCTCAAATTTTTGTTAATTTTAATGCATACTTCCAAAAATGATCGAATTTATAGAGCGGTAGGCTATTGCATATAACCCAGCTCAAGCCATGGCCACTAGTAGAAGTATTAATGCAAAAATACGAATGGCCACTGGAACATGCTGCACAGTTTGCTTCTTTTTTGATACCTATGCTTGCTTTTGACCAAGAAGAAAGAGCCACTGCGCGGCAATGTCTACAGCATGATTGGTTGAAGCCTTTTGGTGGAAAAAATCCACGAATTAGAAAAAATCTTTCATTGGTGAATCGCGATTATGTTGGATATAATGTAAGTTAAATTGTGTTTACTCATTTATATTCTTTTTTTTTTGTTTTGGTTCTTTTTATTTTTTATTAAATAAATTTTTATAGTCAACTATTCGTATTGAAAATGATTCGGACGATAAAATCAAAGAAATTGGTAATAGCGATGCTATCCAGTTAAGTTCTCTTAGTATTGAATCTCAGATCGATGATGGCGAGATGTGAAGTTGCACGAATTTCCTCCATTTTCTTATATACTTATTGTATAATTTCGCTTGCACCTTCAATTCTTTCTCATTTAATTAACTTTAAGAAAAAATTCGCTGTAAATTAATCGTTTTAAGATTTCTTTCTTTTGGGTCATTTTTATTTTTGTTTGTTTTTAAATGAAATTTGTTAGAATGTATGAAAAGGCGAGCGAAAGCTTCATATCTCCTGAATTTCAAAAATTTTTATAAGTTCCTGTGCAAATATTTTATTAAATTTTTGAGCAATATTTGATTGTTTTGATTGGAAAAGAAAGTTGTTTCATATTTTCTTATTGACATAATGATTTAATATTATTATTACACTCTCATTTTATGCGTTTTTGCTTGAGGGCTAAGAAATTTGTGTTAATAGGTCTCTGTATAGGTTTTTTTTGTATGCATCACGATCGCTTATTTATTTAAACCTCGTGGTCATAATTTCGTTTTATCGCTTATCCATTTTGGGAACTCATTCCCGTAAATCTCAAGTGATCAGCACTTAATGAATTTTTTTAATTTTATATTTTTTTTTGAAAATTTTTTGAAATTATTTTGTACTTACTTTTTTCCTTTATCTTTTGATTGATTTTAATTTATCAATGTAGGAAGAATTTTAGAAGGTTTCTTATGGTTGTAATACTTGTTTATAAATAGGAATAACTTTTTATTTACAATTTATAAAAAGAAATAGCTTCTTTTGACGAGAATGATTTGGAAGCAAAAATGTTCATATTTTTTCATTACTCAGGATAGGTGACGTCCTAAATATTTAATTATATGCAAAAGTATTTCCACATTTATACATTTCCAAGTATTGCTTTCTTGCCCAAAATTTTTATGATATTTCTGGTTGTATCTTATGGATTCCAGTAAACTCGGCAATGGCGATTGATAAATTTTTTTTCATTTTGGAAGTATGGCGGTTCTTTAACGATGCTATTGCAACAGCCAAATTGGTATTGTGTATCCCTGTGGGCCATTTAGGCTTTCGTCGTCAATAAGTTTTTTGATGAAGGATATAAGAGTTCAAAATTGAAGTGGAGTTCAAATGTCATCAAAAATTTGTCAAGATTACTCAAGTGTTATTATTCTTTTTTTTTCACTGGATAAAGGTTTTTCTTTTGGAGATGTTTTTTATAGCCGTTAAATTTTAGGTTTAAAGAGTAAAAACTGCTATATGCGCCACTTTTAATTGCATTAGAATAAAGTCCAATCTAATCTGGGAATATGGTTTGGGTCTCGTACTTTGCCGAGATCAAACAATGGATTGATTTCTGCTTCTAGATGGAAATAAACTTGTCAACAAAGGCGGAATCAGACTGCGTGATCAGTTCTTATACCTAATTCGAAGACCGAAAGGCCATGTTTGGAAATGGGGTTTTGTAGTCTATATATCGTCGAACTGCCTATTGGGTATCAAGAACATAGTCTTAAATTACAAGTGATTCAAGTTGAGCAATGTGTTTCGGGAAATAAAACTAGCCGCTCTTTTAATAACGTTGAGTATAATTTATGAGAAATGTAATTGAAAATGATTTAAGGTAGCGGTGTAATGAGTGTTTGTCCACGGTATATGGGTGACAGCAAGGACAGGGCAAGCTGAGGTCTTTCAAATATCTTCCAGGCATTCACCAAGTTCAGAGAAAATATCGTCGTTAGCGAAACGATGCGTTTTTGGTAGTAAGGCAGAGCGCCTTAGGAAAGTCTCAGGAAATGAGCCAAAGGATACGTTTTGATTCGGTGGAGGTTCAAAAAAATTCATTTTGAGAAATTTGGAAATCGTAGGAGGTATTGTAATAGGTCTGAGGAACATATAAGTGCATTGATGGTGTTTAAGCTATTAGGGATAATACCACCGAATTAAAATCCTATACCCTTTCATCACTGCATAGAATCACTGCATATAAATCTCCATCATAACTTGGATATCCTCGAATAAAAAATTATAAAGGTTTTGAAAGAGACGAAAGTATTTCAGTGGTGCTAATAAATCAATTGCGATATGCAGTCTTCTCTCTTTTGTCACCTCTAAATAGGGATGCAAGAAGAAATATTGTTGAGAAATTGTTCTTTTGGAAAAAAATTGTTCTAACTTCGACATGCACCGCAAAATGCATGCAATATAATCTCGCCTTCTCGAAATTTTCATCTTATCAAAACTCAGCTTCGTGTGTTTTATCGAAATCGCAATGCTAACTTGATTTTTGGCAGTTTGGACGTATTCTTATCATTTTTCTTATCTTTCTCTTACTTTTCTCTTATTTTTTCTAATCTTCTTGTGCAAATCCTTATGGTTTACAACAAAATTGCTCAATATTAATCGCTGAATTAAAAAAGCGTTAGCAGTTACGTTATTCTATGTTATACAACGCATAATTTGGCTGATGTTGGGTTATCGGATCAGATATCGGATAATTTAGCTGATAACGAAGGGGACAAATTTCTGCCAACTGGTAAAGAATGATTTTGGTATGGTCCATCTTGGTTACTGCGATTGACTGGCTCATCGATGAAGAGAATTTGGGTTACTGAATGGGATCCATGGCATTCCTAATGATACGAGTGATACAATCACTAATTACTGAGGAAAGAATCCTTATGATTTCTTTCTTATCAGGAAAATATTTTTCGTCTTTACTTATTTTTTCGTCCGTCATTATTTATTTTTTCACTTAATCTTAGTGATAATTTAATCGCAATATTGTCAACTAAATTTTGCTGAAATTTTGCGTATTTAAATAAAGGTGCTCCCTCTTCATCTGCAGCGTAGCGAATTTTAATGATGAAAAGTGCTAAAAGAGTATTAATGGAGGGAATATAATGCGAATTGGAGACTAATCGAGTGTAAAAGGAATTTGACCGGTACTTTTAACGAGGTTGGAAAGAAAATGGTGGGACCGGGCCTTCATCCTTGTTCAATTTTTTACGCTTATTTGCACCGTTGAAAATGTCTTCAAATTCAACTATCACTTAGCCTATTTACAGCACTTATCTACTTGGTAAACTAAAAATTGTGCAGCTCAGTAGGACGAAATGATTTTGTCAACAACATAATATGATTCGAACGAAATGAGGACCTGGTTGAGTTTTTCGCTGGAGAAATAGGAAAGTTGCTCAAAAATCTGCATAAAATCATGTTCTCTGTTTTTGATAATTTGTTTAACTGGCAGAATTTTCAACTTGTAGAATATGGCACAATAATTTAATAAAAGTGTTAGGGTCACAATAATTGCAATATAAATATAAGATATAAAAATAATAGCAGTAAAGTAATGCAGTAAATATGAGCCATTCAAATTGAGCCCAATTTGTGATATGGTCAGAAGAGATTTTGAACGCATAGATATAGGTAGACCAATGATATATGAGCCAGCTGGTTGATAAAGGAGTAATTCCAGTTAATTTCAGGCATGACATCGGGCCAAGAGCATACCTCATCCTTCTTGCTAACTATACGAACCTAACCGCCAATGAAAAATACGAGCTATTAGAAGTCATTCAAATTGAATTTATTTATTTTTGATATTTTTTTTCAGGGTACATAATAATACAGTAATAATAGCAACAAGGGATCATATACAAATAAAAATAAGTAACAATAATTTTACCATAATTTATCTCGTTTAAAGTAATTTCTATACAAAGCAAAACCTCCACCATTCTTAACGATGGTAATGAAATGACATATTAGTTAGGTTGGACTCTTTGGTCATTTATTAATAATCGTATTTTGTGATTACTTTATACGATCACTAAAAATCACCGAATCGCTGATATTCTCAAGAAGGCGTCATTCATTCGGTCAAATGTTTGACTGAACATTGAAAATATTGCTCACGGACGCGTGATACTGTTTCCTGCGTTTCTCAAAGGTGGCCGAGGAGACTGAAATTTTTCTTTTTTTTCAAAAGACGTATTTAAAATTTGTTTAAAAAAATTGAAAGAAAAAATGAATACAAAGATTTCTTCTCAATTTCTCTTTATTTCCGATTAAAAATAATTTAAATATCAAAATGTTAAGAAAAGCTAAACTATTTCGATCAAAATGAACTTTTGACCTGGTTGACTTTTTTTCCTTTTTATAAGTAATGAAAGAGTCGTAACTGGAAATAAGGATGTTGAATTGTTTAAATATTTATTACCGTACAATGGCTACTCGGAACATCCATATTATGCTGCCTATTCGCTACTGAGCATTTCGATGGTCCACTTCTTTGTGATGAAGACCATTTCGTTTGTGGTGGTTTACGTTGACTACTTGCACTTGAAGTCACCGATGTCTGAATCCTTGCAAAATTCATACTAGATAGAATATATCAGTCATACAAACTATCATTAGTTTCGAAGTTCACCTTTTCCCGTCTCATCCAATTTAGTGGATTTTATCTAAGCTTTTGACTGACTAACTGGTCTGTCTGGACTAAGAAATATCTAAGAGGACAACCAGATGATTTCTAACCTGGTTCTTCTCCCAGTAGCTCAGCTTCTTGAAATTTTCTCCACCCAAAAAAGAAATTCCCCCAGACTTCCGATCCAATTGATTAGTTTGGTTTTTTGATTTTTATTATTCAAAAACTAGTTTAAAAAACTGAACACAACAAAAATAAACTAAATAAAATCAAATAACATTGAAGTGACTTCGACTTTTTTTAAAATTCCTTCTTTACGATTCTATTTTTATAATGATTTCATATGGTTACTACAGTTATTATCTAATTATCTAAATTTATTTTCCAAATGACCATAAAATGGTTTTGGAAGTTCAAATTAAGTAAAACTCCATAAATACCTGATGTTGACCAATACTGGGAGTTCTATTCAGTTCACCCTTTATGAATCGTTCCACTTTGTCCATGCAAGCTTCTTGATAATCGTGCACCCATCGAACGCCATTATAGCGAGTGATATGACGAATATCGGCCGGCAAATCAGTATCACAAGCGGGAAATTCAAAGTGTTGATCAAATATTGGTATGACATTTTTATGATGATCGAAAGCACATCGAAGCTAAAAATTTCAAGGCGGACTAACAAAAAATAACAACCTCATTAATAAGTATTAGTTCCATCCTTATGTTATTTTATTATTTAGAAAATGGATTTTTAAAATATATGCAAAACTAGAATTTGTACCTCTTTATGGATCCAATCTTCACAATTATGGTCATTAAAAAGGCGATCGAGTGAGTTCGGAGTCAAAACGAGAATAAAGTGTTTCGCTGCTTGAATATTCTTTAGTAAAGACGAATCGAATTTGCCCGCATACAATTTATCGACATCAATAAAAACCTAATAATATTTAATAGCGATAATAATAAATTTAAGCGATATAATGAAAGCAGATTTATGCATGCACTAGTTTTTTCATCTTAGCTATTTTTAAAAATTAATATAATTTAGTAAAATTTGAAAAAACCAGTGGATCAGCCAAAATCAGAAATAATGCGTGCTGTTAGAATAAGAAGAAATCCAAGAAAATATGGATATTTCTTTAAAAAATCTCATCATCTAAATAAATTTGAAAAGCAATAATCAAAATAATTAGTGGTTTGATGTGAATGGGCGATTGAACGGAAGGAGAATATTAACAAAGCGGGTATAATAAAGAAAAAATAAGTGGTTTGCACCCACCACTGCCTGATTTGCCAAACTCTGCTGGTTGTAAGTACCGTCAAAGATTTTTGCGAGAGTGTCACCTAGCTAGAAATACAGGTAAGTCACCAGGATCACCGGAGGAAAAGAATAACGAAAACAAGTCAAAAAAACTAACTTTATATCCGCGCAACTGAAGCAAAACTTTAATCAAACTGGCCAATTGATTACCCGTACTTCTGCGATAACTTATAAACACATCAATTTGTTTGCTAAGTATTGCTACTTCAATATCATCAATATGCTTACTATCTGAAATAAACTGTGAAATTAATTTTTAATTAGTGTAACCATGTTAGAGAGAAGGGAAACTTTTGCCTGATAAAAAGATATTAAGGAAATATACGGTGCTTTGAGAGGATGCTAAGGGGAATCTTATAAGATTTATGGAACACACTGAGAAAGTAAAATGGAGAATATTAAAAATGTAGTTTAAAATGAAAAGCTGATTTTTTCACATTCGAACTGTAGAAACCTTGAAGTGCTTGACGTAATTTTAACCGGTGAATTGGATTATGAATTCCACAAACAGTTTTCATCATTTCATCGGTTAGAGAAGGCAATAAACTTCGATTTAATCCCATACCAAGCATTTGATAAGTATAAACTGATAATTCGGGGCTAAGTGACATTAAAAATTGGTCGAGTTGGCTTTCATCGACACTACCATAATCGGCAGCGATCTGTTTATAGACAATAATAAAAATGATAAAAAGTATTTTATAAAATTTTTATTCATTGATTTGAAATCGATTTGGTTTACCCTAAATGATAATTAAGCAAACCTTAAGACTTTCTAATTCCCTTATGAAACGTTTTCTGAGAAGAGCTGAAGTCATTTGAAGATCTTGTTCAAGTTCTTTTTCAGTCAACAACAGCAGTAGATCACCGTCAACCATATGCTTTGCGAATGCATCAGCATATGACTCAAATCCAATCTGAATTAAACAATATTTTAATAAAATTTTCCAACGAAAAAACGGTTATGCAAGATAAATTTACGAAAAAACTGATTTATTTGCTTTGGGACTTAAAAGTTTTTTTTGAAAAATTTACAAAAAATATGTTTTCTCAAATAATTTTTATTTAAAAAACGACAAATTTTGTAAGCAAACAGGAATTTGTAAATAAATGCGCCCATAATTTTCTTTCAAAAATTTTAAAAATGATTAAACCATAAGTAATTGCCAACAACTATAAAAATAATCGTAAATGGGAAAAAAGAGTATTGAAGGTTTAGATTGCCAATTAAAATAAAGATTTACATCGCAACCTTAAATCGATGATAAACAAATATAGAAACTGGACGAGGGCATATTAGTAGTGATAATAATAGAAGACGGCTGTGTAACGGCTGTGCTACCGCTGAGGAATATGCTTTAATCGAGTTAAAAAAGTCGAGCAAATGCCAGCCAGCTCTGTGCAAGTTCTGGCCGCAGCTACGTGGAATATTAAAATAACTGCACGGAGAACCGACGTACTTTCTTAGAGATACGAAATACCCACGCCAAGATTGCGTCCCCTTATTTTCAACTATGCAATAGACTGGGTTCGCTTGACAGTACTCAAAGAATTTACAGTACATCCTTTATGCTCGCCAAGTGAACATAGTCTCAATGACTGTCTATCGCTTCGCTAGTTTGTGCATATTTTCCGCAATACACCATAAGAATTAATATCTTGCTAGTTTCAAAACTTCGTGATAGATGGCTCCAAAAACGAGGAGAATTAACTAAACCTTGATTGATATGATGAGAACACATAAACAGTAATATATCCAGCGATATGCGAGATTAGACGATGGAAAAAAGAGTGCTTCCATTTATTTCCAGGAATAAAATCGGATTAGATCGCTTGGAAACGACATAGTTGGTGCAACGAACTTAACCAGTAATGATGTATGGAAATTAGAAATACCCTTTAAGTGAATTCTTTTTTAAAGTTACTCACCGCTGCCGACTAGGCTCGCTATGCTGCCAGACTAGACAAATACTCCAGGGCTTCCTTGGCTACAGAAATAAAAATAAGTGGCCAACATCATCTGGATTTTTGGACAGGTTTATTCCTGCCGCAAGTAGAATTTCAGTAACGGTTTTATGAATTAAACAACAACCCACTGAGCCATTCTATCCTCTTTTACTTTTTCCATTGAGCGATACTGCCACACAATACTCAGTTCACAACTGTAATTATCTTGATATTGAGCCAATGAGAGAGTCCTCCCTATTACTGGTTAAACTCTGCTGGTTTGTCGCATTGGACAAAAATGTCCCTTGGCGACAGAACTACAGGTGGGCCAACGACATAACTCGGACTTTTGTACAGGTTTACTCATGCAGGGGAAATGAATTTCAGCACCGGCGTGCCGAATTTAACAACAACCCACTAAACCATCCATTCTATCGCATTTATCTTGCTATTCAGCCAGTGAGAGAATCCTCACAGTGCAGGCCTCAAACCGTTATATGATTATCAAATATTCAAAGACTGAAGCAAAATGAGATAATAATCATTCTTGCACAGGTGAATAAAATGTGAATTTGAATTAAATAGCGTCGTTATGATAGCTGAAAATTAGCTGAAAAAAGAAGCACTCACTTTCTTTACCCAGTATTGAACATCCGCTATAGTCCAACATGGAACTTGCTGGGTCAATTTATATGGCACTTCTTCACCGATAATAGTTAAAGCTTCGCTAGCAAATTTGGCAGCAACTTCATCCGGACTTGATGCCACTTCTTTTAACGCTGCTATGGCGCCTATTTCCTGAAAGCTTTTCATTATACATCCTTCCAATCAAATTTTCCTATCCTAAAAAAATGCAATAGATAAAGATTGGTACTTTAATGTTAATCGATTAGAAAGGATTAGAATCGATTAGAAATTAGAAAGCAAATATGATAAATATTTTTGAATACTTATGAATACTTTTTGAATATTTGTGACTTCTAATTTACTAACTTTTTACCATTTTCTGATTTTTCTCATATTTTTCATAACTTTCAAGAAAATTTTGTTTTAATAGAGAATGAAAACTGAGAAGAAAAAATTTTAAAAAAATGACGATTGACAGTGATCAAGCAGGTTAATTTTCTTAGATCTGTTAAACTTGAATAAGTCAAAGTAGGAATTTCCAAATCGACATTTTTAGTTAGAATAAAGATAGCCCAAAAGACACCAATGAATCGTTAGATATTTTCCTTATAATTTTAGTTTATAATTTAATTTTTTTATATTTTACAAAAAATTCAGGAAAAACCTAGTACTATAGAAATTAATTTAAATAAAATAAAATAAAATATGTTAGAAGAAAATTACGGGAAAGAATTTTTGGCGAAAAAATGAAAACGAAGAATATCGTTGAAATTCGAAACAGCTGATTAAATTAAAAGCTAATAAATAGGTGGATGGGATATGACATGGATATTATGATAATATTAATGAGTGAAATTTAATAATAATAATTTACATTAATAATAATAATAATTATAAATGAAATCTGATAATATGAATTTTCTTAGAAGTAGAAAAAAGTTATCCATGAACTTTCCCATTTTTTTGCGCTCAATTGATTTCCAGAAATCTTTAAAATGTCGACAGGAAGAAAAGCTATGCCGAATTCATTATAATTTTCAAGAGAAATGGTTCCTATAAAAATGGCTCCTTAAGTCTTAATCGGTCCTCTCAAGGATATTTGACTACTATTTTCAAATTTATTGCATGATTTTATTTTTAAAAGTTATCCTTAGAGTTAAATTATAAAAATGGATAGTGACCAAGTGTTTTTTAAATCATAACTTAATAAATTCATCCTTTATCAATTTTATATGGACGGCAGTGGTCGGGTCGCCTCGATTTACGCCCACTGATTTGATTCTTTAAGTCCAATTCCCAGCAACCACTATAATCTGAATGATGCTGGTAATTCTATTGCAAAATGCTCCTCTGACTCCCCTTAAAAAATTTCTAACAGCGAAACTAATCTTAACAGAAATGGTGTACGTTTAATCTTAATTTTTATCGCTTATATGCAAAAAATTTTTATTCTGCACTCGCATTTCAACTTTTAAAGCGAAAAGAAATTATGAGCCAACAGTTCTCGTTCTTAATGCAATTACTAATATCTATACTTCCAGTTTAATGGTTCTCGTTCTTAATGCAATTACTGATATTTATACTTCCAGCAGAACTATAAATAATCATTTGGATCAAAAACAATTGGAATTTAGTAATAAAGCTGTTTTATTTAAGAAAATAAAAAAAAATTAAAAAATATATTTAATTGCAATTTTAAAGAGACAAACCAAGAAAGATATTTTACCTTAAAATTTTCATTACCATAAGGTTTATGGAATAAGCATTCGGTATGCGAGCGCTTGCATCGCATCATTTTAAGAGAAAATTTTGCCATAGGAATCCCGAGGAATTCGTTAAAACTGAATAGCGAATGAGGAATTTATTCAAGAAGGGAATATACGCAGCAAATCAATCAAATTTGAAGTTCGCTATTCGAAAAATTATTAACCGAATAGCGCAACAACATTTGATAAGTCACAAAAAAATTGTCGAATTCAAGCGAAATGCGATTGCATGAATATTATAAAAATGCATACATACATTCGACACCTTGTTATACTACTGTTCCTCCACAAATCAACGATGAAATCGCGCCACGCCCAAACAATTTTTACAGTTGTTTTTTTATAAGGAATATGTGAAATAGGAGAAATAGGAGAAATGCTTCGAAAAGGAATGCATGAAATAAGGAAAATGCGAGCAGAATGATCGTAAAATTATAAATAAATGAAATATGACAAATAAGCGTAAAATGTGAAAAGACAAGGAAGAATTGTCCAAAATAATTCCCAAATTTTAACAAATTTTAAATATTTCACATCAATTTTTTGCGAAACTTTTTTAAGAGAAAAAGTAGAATCTAATAAAAAATATTTTCGACTTGTTTAGAATGATCAAATTGACTTGCTAGAAACGAGAGTGACTCTTGAATGAATAACTGAATCGCTGGCGACCACTAAAAAAGTGCCACTGAAAAACTGAAACGAATACTGCTATAAGTACTTTGGTTCTGAGGATCCTTTATTCTGAGGAATAGTGCTTGCCAATATTTTACTATTAAATAATAAAAGAAGTTTAAATTTATAGCTAAATTTGCAGTAGAATTTACGACTTCTCGGTGGATGCTGGCGACTCACCTGTGCTTCTATCGCCAAGTGACTCCATGGTGAAATTTGCTTGGTCCGATAAGGCAAAGAGCGAACCTGACTAGCAGTGGTGAGTGCTCTTAGAAAAAAATCGTAAAACTGAACAACATAAAATTTATTATCAACTCATTAAAATGTCATAAATATTTCGGAAAAAAATTTTTACTCTGTTTTTCTTAATGTTTTTGAAATATATGCGACTTAACTTGTTCTATTTTTAAAATATGGACAATGGTACAATTTTACTTGCTCTACTTGTTTTTAGATAAAAAAATATCTTTAATAACTATCTTTTAAATTTTAATTAAAGTTCTACTAAAAGCAGATAGAAATAACTATAAAAGCAGATACAAATAACTAAGTAGAGAGAAGAAAAGTTCATTTCTAAACAGATTTAATCGGTTCAAAAAAACTACTCTAAGTTTTGCCTCCTTTTAATTTTAATTTTTTTCAGGACGAAAAACGAAAAAATCAATTCTACATTATATAATAAATTCTTATCCGCAGAACAACGGCAAAATTAATTTTCTATTAATAGTAATAATAATAAGTAAAAAAAAATAAAGGGAAAAACAGATTAATTAAAGACGAACAAAAATATAATCGTTTACAAAAGTCAGAAATAAGTGTAATAATGATGGAAGTAATTTTCGAGAATGAGAATTCGAGAATCATTGAACTCTTTCTTTTCAAAATGCCAATTTAAAATTTGTTAAAAGGCAAAAAAAATTCCAAAGTTGAACTACCAAAATGGCAAGTAAGCGAGAAAAAAGGCTCATAAAAAAATTGAAACGAATGGAGGAAAATTCCATAGAAACCTAAAATTCTAAATAAGAATTATCGTAGATCGTAAGCAGACTAAGTTAAACCACTTTTTTTTAAATTTCACGTAAAATCTTCTTCCTACTATTTTTTAAATTTTATGATTAGTTTTTTGAAAAAACTCTCGGGAAATTCTGGATTTCCCATATTTCTAAAAGGATTTTCGAAAAAATTCTTAACTAAATTTTTTTTCATTTTTTTCTAAATCAAACGTCAGACAAATTTTTCTCATTTTTTATGCGAAAAGATTTATATGAATTTTACAAAAAAAAGATTTCCAAAACATTTTTTTCATCGAAAAAAGAAATTAAATTAAAATCTACAGAAATATGGCGAGGAAATTTGCGATAAAAATGATAACACAGATATCTGCAAAAATATAGTCAAAATAAATAAAAAGTAAAAATGAAAAAATTTTCTAAAATTCTCAAACCAATTTTTTCTCGTTTGCAAATAAAAAAGAGAAATTTTCGAAAAACTTAAAAAAAGAACAAATCTTTCATGATTTTTTCAAAAATTTTTTCAAATACTCAGCAAAAGAATAAAAAAGAATAATAATGAAAATAGAAAAGAATTTTCACAGAAATTATACAAGATTAGAAAGGGAAAAAGGTGGAAACATTTGGAAACATATGGAATGTCAGATCATAAAATACTAAAAAATTTTTTTACCTGAAAAACTTCCAAATTTTGTTGATCTTTTTTAATCGTTGCTTCCATTTTAAAGTGAAAAGCTGCCATACTTTTTGCTTCTCGGCACTTCGATTTTAACATTGGTAATAACCTAAAATTAAAAAAATAAAAGTGACCCGTTGAATAAAATAGATGGTTTGTAACTTTTAATAGGTTTTATCCTACTTCGCGAGTAAATGCCACTAAACACAATGTAAAACAACAATTTATTTTTAGCCAAGTCGACAAAATAGGAAGCGTGGAGGAATTGAATTTCGAATTTCATGCTTTCTTATTTGTTTGTTAAAAAACACGAACCTCACAAGCCACTCTTTGGGTCGGCCTTGTGAATGTTTATAGTGATCGCCAGCAAAACTTGTCGCTGGATGAGCTAATAAAAAAGGCTCAACTAAAGCCAAAGTTCCGGACTTATTTACTGCCGTTTCCATTTCCTTTGTACTACCAAGCATACATATTGCTAAACATGCATAGTACCTAGTGAGATCATCCGGCTGTGAGGCAAGAAGAAATAACCAATCTGGTACCTTAAATTTATTAAAACTATGATAGATTAATTCTCAGAAAGATTTACGAATTATGACAGAATTAATTATCACAAGGTCACACAGCAAAACGTTCCCCACTTTAATAAATTTTCAGCCAGGAGGCAAAGTAAAGTTAATTAATCAACTGGAATAACAATAACAACGCACCTAGTGGTGCTAATGTATTGAATGTAGATTTCTGATATTTTAACCTTTTCATGCCTAATTTAACAATTTATATAGGGAAATTAAGCATAAATATAAATAAGTAAATCTATAATTTTTTTAGACTGAATATTTTGCGTTTTACGAACACAGAGCAATACCTTTTTTTGGATAATTTTCTTCTTAGCTTCCGAACAACTATAAAGTGATAAATTTGCGAGCGCTAAAGCTGCATGCCTTAAAGTTATCGGTGTATCAGTAGCTCGTTTACACGTCAGCAAAATATGGTCCAAAACTCCATATTCAATCAACCTGAAAAATAATTTTTAATAATTATAAAATGAAAAATAATTTCCAAGAATTTCAAGAATTTCAAGCATTTTTCAATCATTCAACCCCTTTAAGCTAATATATCCTTAAAAAAATAATTAACCGTGCAATAAAGCTGTCAAATTAAGTAAAATGGAACGAATCTCATAATATTTCTACAAAATTTCTATAAAATTTATTAACATTTGTATAACTGGAAAGTTTTATCCGAAGTTTATTAGGAAATGAGAAACTTTTTTTCGAAAGGATAATAACAATAGTGCAGTAGCCATAAAATCTTATGTTTATGCAGAGAGCCCATCACAAAGCGGAAAAACAAAAAAGAATTGCGAGTGGATAATTTTACGCTAATTTTAAGCCAGAAAAAGCGCTCATAATATTAATATTAATGAACAAAAAAGGCCCGTAAACTATAAAGGAAAGTAATGACAGATGTAATTTCCATAACTGAAAAAACCATTTTTCTCACTTTTGATCCCTTTGATTTACATGAAAAAATAGGATAACAGATTTTTTGAAAATATTTTTGTGGTATTGAAGCTGTGGTCTTCAAAATTTTCATTTTCTAAATCTCATCGATTTACTAACTTTCTTCATCTTATCGATAATTGATTTAATAAAGGAATTTTAGTTATCCAATTCGTAAAATACTCAAACGAATGATAAGCAAATTTATCGGCAAATTTGCAAAAAAAAGCAGTTCACAAAATTTCTCATCCATTTTTTTTTTAAATTCTGCTTTCCAGGCTGCAAAATTCAGAGAAAATTTGCATGAAACTCAAATATTATAATTTTCTCATTAATAATATCCATTGAAAGTAGAATTTTAAATTGAAATTTGTGTTAATTACCTATATGTTGTGGCAGTTGAATGTTTAAATAAGCTCTCCATGATCGACAAAGACATTCGTTGTTGCTCGGGGTTTTTACTAAGTTTTTCAGCTGTGGCCACCAGCTTTTTCAAATATCCTTTGTTGACAATATAATCTCTGTTTTTTGATGATAAACATTCTTCCAAAACGCGACCACATGCTAATCTTACTGAAATTTGTTAAGGAAAAAACCATAAATTTATCATATTTAGTGGTTTATATCTAAATGAGCTAGAAGGAAGCAGCATAGCTGAGTGGATGGAAGTGGATTCAGATTTTCGTTTCAAAAGGAAAACGCTCTTCTCTCTGATAGTAATAATCCCTGTCATTAAAAAGCTAGCATAACCAAAAAAGATATGAGTTAACCACTTAATTATTCTTTATTTTTTTAGTAACTGAGTTAAGGTAAAGAAACGCAAATGAAATGTTTAGAACGTGCATAAATCCTTTATATCTCCTTATTCAAGGAAAAAAAACAATACTAAATACTACAATTAATGATAGGCATAACCAAATACTCAATAAAAATTTCAAACTAACCGGATTCACACGTTTGCGCCTTTATAAAAATAATAATCAATGTATCAAAATATGCTTGATCTCTTAAATAATCACATAAACTATAAGATAAATCATGCGATATTTTTGGAAACATCCAAGCTTTCGTCATTACTTTTGCTACAATTGTACATCCCTGAAGAAATGACAAAATCACAGATGGCAAATACATTGTAAATATACTTATTATCCTTTAATAAATTCTAATTTTATTTCTATATAGGCATGCTTCTATATAGTTGTTCATATTGTAGAATATTACTTAGATCATTTCAAATTCAGACTCTGCCCTTGACGTGAATAAATTTACCATTAAAAAAGAGGGGTGATGATTGGGGCCCATCCATACTTCCATTCGCTGATGATTCTCTGGTGAAAATGTCTCATGCTAGCGGAGCGAAAATAACCAGAAAAAATAAGTATTAACCATCAATTAAATAATAAATAAATAAGCAATATAAAAATTTTTTTGCGAAGTAAAATTTTGCTAATTTATTTGCGAGTGGGGAAGTTCAAAATTCTATAAAATTTATCAAAAACATTAAAGGCATGTGCTTTAGAAAGCATCATAGATCGCATTTGACCAATGTACCGATCTTATATTTTGAAAGAGAGCTAATAAATTGCTGATAATCACTGTTCAGCGAATTCACTTAGATGTTACACAAGATTGATGTCATATTGGCAAAAACGTTTTTCTTGGATTCAATGTTCATAAATACGCCGGGAAAAAAAGCAGTCAGAATTTCCCGCAATCACATGTTGCTTTTCAACTTAATTAGTCCCAATTTTTGAAGAACCTTCTTTCTCATCCAAAAGAAAAATTTTTTTTCAATAAATTTTTATAAATATTAAATTCAAAAAGAAAAATGAAGAGAAAACTTCGATTGTTCTTTGAAGATAACGGAAAAAAAAGCCACAGAAAAGTAGGCGAAAACGTTTTTTTCTGCTAAGTAGTGGGAAAATGAGTGGGAAATCAAAGGCAAAAATTGTATGGGAAACAAACTTTTTGAATAAATTTCGCTTATCGCATTTTAATGAAAAAATAGAAAAATATAATCGTTTGTTAATAATAGTTTGTCGAATGAAAAAAAGGGCAGCCGATAAGCCAAAAAAAAGTAATTTTTTCATTTTTTTTTTCTCAAAATTTTATAAAAATCTTTTCTCAAAGAATCGAAGAAAAAAATAAATTTCTTAAAACATTCAATAAAAAAATTATTAAATCAGAATGACTTTTTTCTTTACTTCTTCAAATGTCAGCTAAATTATTTCTTTCGTTTAGGTAATGTTCTATCGGAAAATTTAATCCACAGTCATTTCCGCGAGTAGCACTTTCATCACTTTCAGTTCGATCATTCGATCATTTGGCTATTGGAATAACTTTTGCCTTCTTTCATCATAAAATCACTCAGAAACAGAAGTACACCGCTGAATTATATCACGGTTTCTCAATAACACATCTTATAACGAGGGCGATGACCGAACCATAGTGCTTGCAATGATAATTAAAGCAAAATCGAACCTCCTTCTATCCTATCAAACCACATATGCCAAACTTTACATTTGCTCTTCCAATTGCCTCATTTTATAGAAAAATAAGGTTGGAATTTCTTTGGAGTTTTAAGATTTTTTTTAAAATTCGAATTAGCAAAAAGCATGAAATTAAAAGCATAAAAAACTGGAAGCTTTTTCTAAAAATAAATCTCTTTGCAATATTTTAATAGCTTACTTCAATAATTTGCTCGTCACTTCCTTGCGCAATGTGTTCGAAAGCTTTATCAATGAAATTCTGATATTTTGATAATTTAGTTTTCAAGGTATGCATCATCATTACTTGTTCTGTATGAGAATGCTTTGTTAATGGGCCATTTGTCACCGTATCCTGAATTAATATTTCTTGCTTTTTTGCATTAATAAACTGCATTTAAAAAATGCTAAAATGTTTTTGCAAATATATATTTTGATATACATTTTAGTATTTATAATATTAAAACTGAAATTTACCTTAATTTTAAAAACCTTTTTGGGATAATTTAAGAGGAAATATAATACTCATTTCCAGCGAATTAAATGATTTATTCCTCGATGGAAGTACTTCTTAGATAATATTTTCATAAAAAAATCGTTGTGGACATACAAAGCGATTATCAATGCACAAATATGCAGCGATGAAAAGATTATTGCAGAAAACAACAAACGTTTAATTGTTTAAAAAATGGACTAATTTGCATATTTGTTAAATTTAAACTATTGCAAATCGGGCAAAGTTTATTTGTATTTCATTTAATATTCCACAATAAAATAAAATAAATAATAAATATTTTAGCAAAATTACCATAAATTCTCCGGAAAAATATTTTAAGGAGATGTTTCATATATTGTTTTTTTCGCTATAAATGTTTAAAAAAAGATAAGAAACTACGAACTGCAATCCAAATCAGATGATCAAATGATTTAAGCCAATTGAATGGTTGCAAAACAATATGACGGAAGATACGTTGTAAGAAATTTTTGTTATATATTACTATCTTTCTGGTTAATTAAATCACTCAATGATTAATTTTTTTAAATTCCAAAGTTCAGACAATTGGTTTGTCAAAAAATTAGAAATTGGTGGAACATGCCTGGACAAGAAAGAAATTAATAAGCAGATAAATAATCACTTGGAATAAATTCAGACGATTTGGTGGCGATGAACGTGAATCGGCGATCGGTGAAAAATCATCAATTGCAACATCCATTTCAGGCGCTGGTAATGAACACGATGCTCCTGCTGATCCTTCACTCTTGAAACGTCGGTACTCTGCTTCCTATTAGAATTTTTTGTGAATTGAAACTGATTAGATCACCAAAAAAAAGTAAATATATAGAAACCCATACTGCCCATATCACAAAAGAAATTCATGCATTCACGCATTATCACTTGTACAGAAAATAAATCACAATCAAAATCAAACTGATATTTGAGACATGAAGAAATAAGCAGTTTTTAATGCTTACTTTTCGCGAAATTGCCGTTTCATCACCTCCACTTGGACATGGAGTTGATAGTGACTGCTGTAAGCGCATATCATTTACTGCTGACTGGAAAATATGAAGCAGTTCAAAATTATAGATATCTATTCATAATTTTTTAAATAATCACGTCGTTAAGCTTTACGGTTGGTTCATTTATATAAGTATTTCCAATTTTTCACCGTAAATGTAAAAAATTATATAGCGTCTATTGCTTTAGCTGAAGCAAGATGAGCTCTTCTGACTTCTGTTTCATAGGAGAAGCAAATAATTAAAGGTGGAATCCGAATGGCCATAAAGATTTATAAATGTCTCTACCGAAATTCTCTTGGGAAATCAGCTGGACTGGATATTTCATTATGGGCAAATTAACTAATTCCTTATCAGGAATTTATCTGCTGAAAAAATGCATTATTAGTTTATTATTATATAAATTTACCTCGGTTCCACTTGAATTGTGCGTTTTAAGCTCAAGATCAGTTGGCCGTGAGAGCACTGAAGCTGGATCTTGTATTGTATTATTTTGACGTGCCAAAACAGTAAATGTCGTATTGCTGCGAGTTGGAACCATTTTATGCGAAGTGCATGGAATCGGCATAAACGTGGTCGAGTCAATATCAGAGCGAAAACCTGCTCCAATTGGGGGAGCACTATGAGGCGAAGGTGGAGGTAATGCAATCGCTGATTTTTTCGGGTGAGTAGAATCGACCGACTGATATAGCCTCAGCTGATCGTGTGACGCAGTCATACCGGTGCATTCAAGATCGTCGTCATCCAGTTCCAACCAAAGATCATCAGTTCTTAAAATGGTTATTTCACTCTCTATAATCAAATATTTCTGAAGACAAATAAATAGAAGTTTTATCTGGAAAATCTGGCGAATGGATTGAATTAATGGATCGGATGGATGGAAAGTTAATGAAATGGATGAATGAATTTTGAAAAATTAAAATATTGGCTGTGTGCGTTAAAATGAAAAATTGATATTGCAGTATTGGATAAAAGGAAATTTTGAATAAAAGACAATTTTTAACGAAATAGTCGCATTATTCTGGAGAGTTAAAGAACAAAAAAACCAAATTCTATTTCGAATTGAACTTTTTTGCTTAGAAAAGCAAATCCAAAATACCATACAAAGAAACATTTCAGACTAATCAAAAATACCATTTATCGCAAAAACTGAGATTTTATATTATGGGAAGAAGATAATCGAGACATGGCAACTAGAAGTCGCGTTGAAATGCAAGGATTTGGTTTCTATTCCGTCTGAATACGCTCAGAAACATGGCGGTGCTGGCGACTGTATGCCAAATGGCTCTCTAACCAAAATCACCGGAAGAGTCACCGGAGGAGCGAGAATGTACCAAAAATGATGCGCTAACCTTTTACTTCCATTATTTATAAAGCGTTTGTGCTTAACGTTTGTGTTCGTGCTTACAAATTTAATTTAATTATTATCGATAATTATAAAAGAGATTTATTGGAAAAAAGGCAAATAAAAAACTTAAAAAATTCAATATTGCGGAAATTGCAGAAATTCGAGAAACGAAACAATTAAGGACATTTAATTAATACTAATACTAATATTTAAAATTTTCTTCAAATAGTGGAATAGCGGAAAATTATTTATTTTCTTTAAGCCTTAAATTTTCTAAGGGGGGACTAAGGCAGAATTGCTTGCTCATTTAGCCATTTACAAATAAATATTGGATTGAAGAAAAATTATGGTCATCTAAAGGGAAATATAGATATTTGGTGCGAACTGCAGCAGGCTACGGTGATGAAAGATTTAAAGATATATCAAAAGACCTTTCGGATTCTTTTATGGTTTTTTTAGATTTTGCTTCATCGCCATTTAATTTCTTCCTATATCTTGAACGTCCCGTAAAAGTGAAAAGCAAGTAAGTTGAAAGATGAAAGTCGACCAAATAAAAGTAATCAACAGCTGTTTATTTTTTAGAGTATCAAATATCAAAAACTATATCATTATCTATCTATCTATCTATCTATATATATATATATATATATATATATATCTATAAATCTATATATATCATTCTAGTGATCATTCTTACGATATAAGTCATAAGTAAGTAAGCTCGATTATTTTTCTTTTTTTATGAAATTCTATAAATATCTAATTGGAAAATTCCACAATGTGCGACTTAAGACGCAACTGCCTTTTATATTTTAGGAAAGAAGTTAGAATATCATTTTAAGATCGCCTATAGCACTCTCTGTTATTGAAATCCAGATGGTTTTCTGAAGATCCACAAGTATTTCAAGTGATTTTTCTCACCCTATTAGTTAGCTGAATGAAGTAAACGTGTCCAAAAATCCGGGTGATGCTGACGACTCATCTGTGCTCAATCGCCAAAGGACTCCCTTGCATATTTGTCTTGCACGACAAGCCAGCGAAGCCAGTCTAACCAGCAGTGGCGAAGGCTCTTAAAAAAAGTAAGAGCAATAAGTTATTCTATTATATAATTAAATTAACCAAAGGTTGTTCACAAAATCGAATCAATTCGAGAAATAGAAATATAATGAACCTCGAATGAATAGATGAGATCATTTTCCGATATTAGAACAAACTAATAAAGTTTTCACATTAATTTAAAAGAAATTTAGCTGCCTCGAATATTTTATGGATTCAGAGTCGACGATTTCAGCGCAAACACTATGATTGGCGTCTTAAAGCTGACAATTCTTTGCCATAAAAGGAATAAAAGCAAAATTATAACGCAAATTCTTATTTTATAAATCTAACAAATACTTCTAATCAACTTTACAATTTGAAATTTGAAATCGTCAAAATTCGGGAAATATTTATTTCTTCAGTTGATAGATTTTTCCAAAGGATTAGTGTTATGGCATATAACGAAAGGGAATTTTGGTCATCCTTTAACTAACATTTTTAACGGAATAATACGGGCACTTCGATATAAACTTGCCTGAAATGTCGAATAATGAATGAATGCGCGAATTTGAAGTGGGAAACAATTTAATTAATTAATAAATAATGTAATGGACGACAATGACCATGAAAAATGGCTTGATGGAATATCGCGATATAAATATGATAACCGCGCAACAGTTATGACAACAATTTTTTAAAAAAGATTTTTACAACCATTAAACACTGTTGCACCAATGTTCACCATCATCATAGGAATATCCACTCTTCAGCGATCAGCAGAGGAGAGCAGAACTTCGTTGTCGGACTGTTGTACTACTAAGTTTTCTCTCACCTAACATTCCACTTCAGGTTTGGCTTGCTTCACTAATTGCTAGGTTTGAGACTTTGCCGCCAAAGTTTCTTTTGAAAACAGACCAACAAGCGCTTCTTTAGAATCCATTCAAATTTAAATTTTTGTTTACTTTCGTCAAGTAATATCTGTGGTTCTTGCTTTTAGCCAAAACTATGTAATTCAACTAACAGCGCTAAAAAATCAATTGAAGGTAAAATTTGGTTAAAAAATGCAAAAAAAAACATGAAGAATATGAAAAGCTTCGAGAAAATAGTACGTGTAGTACGTCAAAAAACGAAAAATGTAGCTGAAATGTCATATAAAAAAAGACTATAATGATAACTTACGAAGTCGACAATGCGAAACTCTGATAAGCCGAACGCAAATAACATGGGTTTTGAGGATTTCGCCCATTCAAATTGGAATTATCCATGGAGAAAATAGTTTTGATAACCACTTTGTTGAAATGAATTTTGTACTTGAGAGATAAAATTGAGTACAAATATTGTTTATATAGGTGACTCATTTGAAAAATTACATGAATCAAAAGCGAAAATTCCATAAAATCATTATTTATGAAATTGTGGGAAAAGAAACCAATTTTTCGAAAATCGTTTTCACTTAATTATTATAGGTTTGCAGTGAAAATGCGCATAAATATTTTTGATTACTATAAATGCCATAAAAAAAAACAAAAAATTTTTGGTTGGTTTTTCTTTTATAACAAAAGTTTATTATAACTGAATAATAAAATAATCGAAATTTTGAGAACAATTTTAACATTTTTTTTTACTACTATTTTCCCTATCTCATTTGTTGCTTTCTTGTTTTTCCTCTTTTTCTAATAGCGATAGCGGTCACCATTTCAGTTCAGATTTGATCAGTAATTATCAGTTTCTTATGCAGTTGCAGGAATAACGAAGGAACTCGGAACAAAAACCCACTGTTATTCCATTCGTTGTTTTTTCTTCTGTCTGCTTTGAATATTAGTTTTTGGTATGAGGATGTTTAGGCAATGAGTCCCATATGTTAGGATTAGTCAGAGAGATTTCAGGCTTTAAAGGTGGATTTATTCATTTTAAGAAGCATGAATCCATGCTGCTTGCCAAAGCAACGTCCTCTTAGCTCAACTATCGTCTTCCATTTCATTTATCCTAATTTAATATGACCAAATAATGTTTTCTTTATATTTCATACCATTCTTGCTCGTTCTCAGATTGAATTAATATTATTTGATATTTGTCTGTAGGATTCATTGTAAAAAAATGACAAAAATTAGAGTAGAGTTGAGGTGTATCTTAGAATTTAAATTATTTTGTTTATCTAAGTACTATTATTAGATGCTAAAGTCAAATGTATATTGAATGTTATAATTTAATTAACAAGTGTTATAAGGTTAAGTTAAATTAATTAATGTGGTACTCTTAAGTTTTTTAATTAACCAGGGGCCCATTTCATTCTATAATTTGTTATCGTGCTTGATATTCAAGAGAATAATTCATCAGTAAACTCGTTTCTTAGCGAGGACTAATTTGACTAATTTACCTACAGTTATAAATTTTAGAAATTTTGGTGCACATTCATTGAATCATAGAAGTTGGTCTTTTAATGATTTCTAATTAATTAGCCAAAAGGCCATTCGTTATGAGAGGAACGAGAATAAAAGGAACTTGTCGCTCACCATTTCTGGTGAGTTTAATACGATCAGAAGTTTCTACGGAGAGTTTGATAATAGAAATGTAGGTGGATGGATCGCCAGCAAAAAAACAAACTGAAAGGAAATTTTTAACGAATATTAATCAAAACAGGCTTATTCTTATAAGTAGAACGAAGATAAATGGTTTCGCTAAAATGATTTTTGGTAAAAATAGACAAAAAATGCTTCCATGGGAATAAAAAAGTAGAAATCACTTGTTTTTCTTCATTTTGAATTTTCAATTTTAGAGAATTTATAAAAAAGAAAGGGAATTAAAATAGAATTGAAAACGTTAATTTTTATAATCGCATTGGATTATATTTTCTCTCTATAAAAGCACTCGCTTTTATGGTTTGAATGTTAGGGAGATGTCTCTTCAATGCAAGCAGATGGGTGCCAAGCACCAAATAGGATAATATGTTTTGACCTCGTAGGAGATATGTGTCGAGCCTACGATGGCGCAAACCTTAATCGAGGCAATGCGTTACTCGGCCAACCGTTTCGTGCTCGTTAATATCAAAATTTATATAATGCATCGACTTCAAATTTTAATAGTTATAAGGAAAGAGCAATAAAAATAAAATTATAAACGGCGCAAAAAAAGTTATAACAAATTTGCAGGCGATCTGATATCTTTGCGCGATGGAAATGTCATAAAATGCCCTTCTAATTATTAATAAAAATGAGTTTTGCTAGTATTCCAATAAACGATATAAAAGCCATTTGCCAAGAATGAAACCGCTAATAGTCGAACATCAAACAAGCAGGATAACTGATTCATATTTTCAGTCAATCGTAATACCTCGCCTGCTACTGAGTACCTCTAATAATCGCTCGCTCAATCAGATTGTCTCTGAAAGCGTCCAATATAATAAT